TGTGCCCTGACAAGGGGATTGACCTTAGAGCCTTAATATGTACGGATAATGCTCTACCCAAATGAGCTACCCAGTGAGGCCATTTGTTTATCTTTCATATGATTTCACTTATATGTGGAATCTAATGAACAAATTAACTAACAAACAAAATAGAAACAAACTCATAGATACAGAGAACAGACTGGCAGCTGGCAGAGAGGAGGGGGAAGGGGGCTGGATGAAAAAAAAGTGAAGGGATTAAACAAACAAACAAAAAACCCCTCCTAGACAGACAACAATATGATGATTACTGGAGGGAAAGGGCAGTAAAGGGGAGGTACAAAGGGGTAAAGAGGGAATAAATGGTGATAGAAAGACAATTGACTTGAGGTGGTGAACACACAGTACAGATAATGTGCATTACAGAATTGTACTCCTGAAACCTATATAATTTTATTAACCAACGTCACCCCAATAAGTTCAGTAAAAATTCTTTTAAATTGACATTTCTGTTTTCTTGACCTACAGAAATGACACTTTAATGATGTTTAAAGTAATATGTATGCCTGGACTACATCCCCCAAGGTTCTAGTTCAATAGGCCTAAAGTGTATTTTTTTAGAAGCTCCATGGGTGATTCTGTGTCTTTTTAGAACTGCTAAACCTGTTCGTCTCTCAACTCCCTCTGAGGCCTGTGTTTTCTAATTTACTGTTTGCAGTAATTGCATGTTAGCCTGCTGCCACTAGGTGGGGGTAATGTGCCACAGTCACACCAAGGATATACCACCTTGAAATTCATCATGGTGGCTCTGCTCAAGCCCAACCAGTTTATAATGGCATATCTCCATGTATTTTGACATCTGTAAAAAAAAAAAAAAAAAAAGAACTTTTAATAAAGTTCTTTTAGGAATAAAACTCTGAAATTATGTGCTTAATATCTTTCCCAACTAACTCACAGCATCAGCACTTTCTTTGTCCTATCTATATTCCTCCTCACTTCCACCCAGAACTCCATACCCTGGCCTCAGACTCCCCGACCTCTAGCACTGATGTCTTAGTCCACTCATTTCTCAGTGAAACCCTCTCCAGGACTGCTCCCCAGTCAGTCAAGATCCTGCTTCTACATTTATGAGCATATCTCTATGTTTAGGTAGGAAGCTGCCTACCATACTTTCTACCTTTCTTCCTCTTCCTTCTCACTCTTCTAATTTTCCTTCTTCTTATGTGCTTATTAGCTTTAAATATTTTATTAGTTTAACTTCCTAACCCCTTAAACCTCTGAGAAACCCCAAGAAATGCTGAAAAGAAGAGTTGAGGAAGGGGTAACGAAGACCAAGCTCTCTTTCTGTCTGACACACGAAGTTCAGTAGTTATCTGTGTCACAGAGGCTAATCCTCTCTATCCCTTCAAGGCTCTCACTTTATAATCCCACTTGACCCCTCCTATCTAGTATTTGATAGCTCTCCTTGTGGCCAAGACTGTTGACTTAGTCCAAAGGAAGGGTCTCTTCTCTGGTTCTTAGCTCTGCTACTCCAGGCACTTGCTCAACTGACTCAGTGAAGAATAATGGTGCTGTGAAGAGCAAGGTGTCTATTTGCTTGCTTGCTGTTCCCAGACCCATCATCATCATTATCATTATCATCGTGCCCCCTCAGAGTTCCCTTACAGCAGAGAAAACTGGTGGTTATATATGGCTTCTCTGCTAACATTCTGGAACTTTATTAGCGACGGTCAGTATTAACTTGAGTTTAATATGTGGGAACTAAAAAATAGCATCCTTTTTGTTAACAACTCAAATATTATTCCAGAGCTGTGTCTAGTTTTAGATTTCAGGTTTATGAAGGATATGGAGAAGCTGGAGGTGACCCTGAGAAGCACTAGCAGTGGGAAAGAACGTAAAAAAGAAAGGTGGCAGATGCTGTGATTTGATGCACAGACTAAATATTGGTGGATAGCTTGGCAGCCCCCAACTATTGTTTCCATTTAAAGAAAAAAGAGATCACTCAGACACTCTCTATAGTCAATGATCATGGAACAAAATGAAACGGGCCCATTGTGAAGCGAGCAAAATTCAGCCTCAATTAAAGGAAAAGCAAGTAACTCCTGATCCTAGATATTTGTAGCGATAGATGCAGATGCAAAGCGACTGAATGGTGGTACAGTATCAAGGAAGAAAGAAATACCTTTTATTTTAGACAGAGATTATGTATCTCAGACTAAAGTGAATACTTAGACAGCTGGCCTCTTGGTATCTCTTTCTAAGGATTATCTGCCTCTGTTGCCATTTATATTTTCTTGAATTCTCACCATTAAGCCCCAAAGAAAGCTTTCCTTCTTCTCACTTCCTCTTCACAGAGGGAAAAAAAAAAATAACCCCGCAGTTTAGATATTTTGAGAAAAGAGAAGTTGCATCACAGAAGAGGCCAAACTTGATATAAGGGAGGTTTAAAGAACAATAGAAAGACAGTCTGAGACCTTGGGCCCCAAGCCTTGCCCACATTGTTGAGGATAGTGAGCAGCTTGGAAGAGAGCGGAGAGGAGGTGAGGTGTCTGTCCCCTGCTTTCTCCCTCCCATCCCAGTTCGGCTTCCAAAAGGAAAGAACTGGGAACTGAGGTCATATAATCATATTTCTTGACTAAATCACATAGGCCCCCAGCCATCACAAAAGAAAGCAGATAAACTAAGACTCTATTTCCCAAGTGCCTCACATACCTTTCCACTTGCATATTGTACAATAGAAAAACCAGAAATAACAGATAAACAGAAAGAAAATTAAAACCACCCATGGCCCCACCAACCAGTGCTAACCATTCTCTCATTTGGGGGCATAATTTTCCAAAGTTTCTTCTATATTAAATATGTGGATTTTTTCCAAAAAAAAATGGATTATATTGTGTTTAGCTCTTCATTTTTTTAAATTCAGCAATATATTTCTATTACCTTTTTATGTCAATTGTACTCCTGAAACTCACTTTTAATGGTTGCTGAATGTGTGGATATCCAATATGACTCTTGCAATTCACTAATTTTGGACACTTAGCATCTTTCTAAATTTTTTTTTTCATATTACAGATAGTTCTGTAGTAGACATCCTTATAGGTAAATCTTTGTATCATTCTTAACGTTCCTTTAGAACATATTCCCTAAACAAGTAATTCCTGGTTCAAGGGATAGGTAGTTTTGAAGGATTTTGATGCAATTGCCAAGTTGGCCTCCCCAAAAATCTTTAGGTAAGAAAGTATACCCTTCTCAATTTGCCCACCACTCTGCTGGCCCATCAGGATTTTACCTCTCCCTCTCTACTAGTGTCCTCTTGGTTGGCATCATCTACCTTAATCTGTAAAGATTTAAAGATGATAATACTCTTTTGTACACTTCGTGGTTCTGCTTCCTAGAAATAACTCTGGTTATCTATACTGTCTTCAGAGTACTGCAAAACCACTGAGAGATAACTCATCAATAAAAAAAAAATCAAAAACCGTCCATATGTTTGGATATTAAGAAATGTGCTTCTAAATATGGATTAAAGAAGTCTGTTGGAAATTAGAGCATGTTTTCATTTGAATGATAATGAAAATACTACATAGCGAAATTTGTGTGTTGCTACTAAAACATAACTAAAAGGAAAACTTGCAGCTTTAAGAATAAACACTGAAGCCATGGCCAGTGTGGCTTAGTTGGTTGAAACATCAGCCTGTAAACCAAAAAGTGGTGGGTCCAATTCCTGGTCAGGGCACATATCCAGGTTTCAGGTTCAATCCCTGGTCAGGGCACATAAAGAAGGCAACCAGCTGATGTTTCTCTCTCACACTGATCTCTCTCTCTCTCTCTCTCTCTCTCTCTCTCTCCCCCCTCACCCCAATAAAAAGTCCTGTGGTGAGGATAAAAAAAAATTTTTTTAAAGAAAGAATAAATATTGAAAATTAATGAGCTAATAAGGATCCAACTCAAGAAGTTAGCAAAAATGAGTGAATGAAGAATGAAATCCTTGAAGTCAAAACAGTTCTCTTTGCATCTTTGGTATACATATATACATATACATTTATTTATTATCTATGCATCTTTGTCCACCCTGTCACCTCCAAAACAGTGCTTAACAGATAAATGAAACTTGATGAACATCAAATTTTATGATTTGTTAAATCATAAATGTCATTCCCTGACCAGCGTGGCTCAGTTGGTAGGGCAATTGTCCTGCAAACTAAATGGTCGCCAGTTCACTTCCCGATCAGGGCCCGTGCTGGGTTGCAGGTTCAGTCCCTGGTCAGGCACAGAGAAGGGAAACACCAGTTGATGTTTCTCTCTAACATCAATGTCACCCTCCTTCTCTTTCTCCTTTCCTTCCCCTCTCTCTAAAAATAAATAAATAAAATCTTTTAAAAAGAAATTGTAAAGGTCATGATACTAAACACATGGTATTTTGAAATTCTCAAGGTTGAGTCTTCACAATTTGATTGATCTGCCAAAATAATTCACCCAAGTGTCATTTAACTTTTTGGAGCAGTAGATTCTGACTTGGGGAAGGCAAGACCCTAAAGGACGATGCACTTACGTGGGTTGGTAGTGATTACCACAGTGTACAAAGATTGCAACCACTCTGGGTTATGCTAAGGATGAGTTTCCTTATCTCCGGACACCCAGAGAAGTGGTTTGTATTTATTTTGCTAAAAACATTTTGGAAATAAAGGTTAAATATAAGGGCCTTTGTTCTCTTCCATCAACACATTGCTTTTGATCATCAGAAGCCAAGAACAGGGACTGATCCTGTGCCTTTTACATAGGCAACGTCTGTTGGAGCTAACGTTCTGCATGTGTAAAGGACAGAGGATTGGGCTCTGGGGATCAATTTTACGCAAGGAAAAAGAAGTGACTTTAATTTCATTAATGGTCTCCTGGATGATTCTGCTACAAGTTTAATTCTCATTAAATATTCATGCTGCTCAGTTCTTAGTATACTGCCTTTAATATCCTACAGCTCAAACTGTCACTAACCTGTTTTATATTTTATAACTGAATCGCAGGGCTTTTTCAGGAGAAGTCAGCAAAGCAATGCCACCTACTCCTGCCCTCGTCAGAAGAACTGTTTGATTGATCGAACCAGTAGAAACCGCTGCCAACACTGTCGATTACAGAAATGCCTTGCCGTAGGGATGTCTCGAGATGGTGAGCATGCACGGCTGGAGTTGTGGGGTAGCAGGGGGTTATGAAAGTGCTTTCCGAAACCTGGAGCCAGAACTGCCAAAATAGTTCCTCCCTCCCCTGCCGGCTTTGTGGGTTTCAGAGCAGTTACCCCCTCCCCTACACTCTGTTGGAGTCAGCTGACTGGCTGGTGAGGGGCACATGGAAGAGAAGTGTCTGTGTGGTCAGAACACCTTCAGGTTTTTGATATTTAAGACACTACAGGTGGATCAGCCAAGCGAAGGTTAGTGTCCTCTGAGGGCCTTAATAAAGGTACCTCCTATAGGCAATTTCCCCAGAAGGAAACACAAAGGAGAGCTAATTGTTACCTACTTTACACTACTGAGCTTATTGACAGATGGGTTGAATTAGCTTTTATGCTAACTGGATATTTTGAATCACAATGCCAGAGTCAAATATTTGTACACAGAGAATGTATGAAAACTGCAAAATGTGGCTCAATGACAAATGTTCTTTTTGTTAAAAGAAGCTATTTTAAGAAATAAAGACCACCTACTATTCAACTGCAGAGCATTTCAAGATCTTCCTGGAAAACTATCTGAAGTGCACTGAATAATCAACACCAGATTTCAAGACAGTTATTCTTATATAAGGAAACTGTTTAGAAAGTACAGCGGGTACATTTTAAGGACTTTTCCAAATATACTGGCTGGCTCTCTTAAGAAATCCCTTTGAAGGAAACATCTCTTCCTCTAGAGTTTCAGCCTGTGGAAAAATACTTGAGGATGCTGGGCTGACATTCTGAAAGCCAGTCTTAGCCACAATCAGATGTTCTTGGGGCCTGGGGACTTGCCCAGGCACAAGTTGTAATGACCTTCAATAGTGGGGCACAGGGTGGCCTCTTAGAATATGTAGAAACAGAAGTGAAGTTTTTGCCATTGGAATTTGCAAGTCACAGGACATACACCACCATATTCTCAGAAATTCCTGTGATATGCAGCTCTGCAGATTGCATCTGCCAATGGCACTAAACCCACAAAGTTGTGTTCATCACTTATGAACTTAAAAGTTAAAATCACAAGTTGTGTGTGCATTTTCCCAGTAGCTGATCTTTACGTTTCCCTTACAGGATCATGTGATTACTGTTGTTACTATTCATGCAAACGTTCAAACACATTTCAGAGTCAACAGCAGAACAGGTCTCACCTCTGAATAGTAATCCCCTTGAGTGTTCTAGAACATAGATTCTGTCACAAAAGAATCAAGTACCTTCCGTGTGCCTTCTGGGGATTTTGTATAGAAGTGACAGCACACATTGTTATGGGCTTGGAGTCAATTTGGGGGCTTACAAGAATGTAGGCCTGAAATTCAGAGCCCACATCAGCCTAAATGCTATCTAACTAGCCCCACCCAAGTTTGTTCCTTCCTTCCTGGAACCTGAAAATTAGCAGTATCACGCTCACTTTGTTTCCTCTCTGCAAAAAGACAGTATGTCCTCCTTGGCAGAAAAAGAATCCACCAGCTGGTAGCCTTGGTTCCCAGCGTCATGTCCATCTATCCTGCCTCCTTCCTATAGACTCACAGAATTATGGTGATGGCCAAATGGATGAATTTGTCGTCCCCATCAGGTGTAAATTTAACCACAATCAATCAGGGCACCTTAGTCCCTCCAGCTGAGGCTTTATCTGCATATACAGGGTCAGGCTGAAAAATAAGTGGGTTTGTGGGAGAGTTCAGACCAGGAGATCATAAGTTGTTTGTTTGTTTGTTTTTCCTTCAGATATATGGGTGTTTCAGGAGAGATCATTTGGGATTCTAAATAAACTGGAAAGTTGCTGCTGTCATTGCTCTACTTTAAATACGGGACATGGGAAAGAGGAATGTTGCAAACACAAATTCATCCAACAGGGAGGGATCTTACACAGTGTGTGCCCTTTCCAGAATTCCGATACTCTTTTTACTTGAGGCAAAATAAGAAGAGTAGAAAGAGTCGTTTAAAGATGGCTCCAAGTGCTTTACAGGGGCCACATGACCCAGCATAGGGGAGGGGGCTTCTCAGGTGGACTCAGGGACGTAATTCAGAGAATTACAAAGACCTCGTCCAGTCTGTCTAGGTCTCTCAACGAAGCCCCAGGTTCAGCTGTTTGATCAGGAAGAAACTCATCTGAGTGTACAGGATAGTGGAATGAATGAACATTGAGGTTTGGCGACTTGTGTCTCAGTGTACCTCTGGGGGTCTGTGCACTGGGAAGGGAAATGGATGGTCCGGCCCGCTGCAAGGGTGGAGAGTGAACACGCCCTTCAGTCACATTCCAGGGGCTCCCACTGAGCATAGGGTCCCACAGCAGCAGGAAACCCTAGGTGGTGCTTTCGCCAGGTCTCCTCTCCCCATCCTTAGTTCCTCTGGGATGTGTCTTTGCTGTAGTGGGTGTGGGGTGGACCTGTTTTCACCTCTGGATCATATCCTTATTTTGTGGTTATGCGGTTTTTGGTTGAGCTTGTCTGAGACTTCAAAGGAACCCTGAAAGCACACCAGAGAAGATAATGAAGAAAAGCATATTGTACATGGTGTGGTTTGGCTTTTTTCTTCCAGCTGTAAAATTTGGCCGAATGTCGAAAAAGCAAAGAGACAGCTTGTATGCGGAAGTGCAGAAACACCGGATGCAGCAGCAGCAGCGAGACCACCAGCAGCAGCCTGGAGAGGCCGAGCCGCTGACTCCCACCTACAACATCTCGGCCAACGGGCTGACGGAACTGCACGACGACCTCAGCAACTACATCGACGGGCACACCCCCGAGGGGAGCAAGGCAGACTCTGCCGTCAGCAGCTTCTACCTGGACATACAGCCTTCCCCGGACCAGTCAGGTCTTGATATCAATGGAATCAAACCAGAACCAATATGTGACTACACACCAGCATCAGGCTTCTTTCCCTACTGTTCTTTCACCAATGGAGAGACTTCCCCAACTGTGTCCATGGCAGAACTAGGTAACGGCTTCTATATTTCTACTGGGATGTGCCGCTTATGGCCTTTGAAGTACATGGGATGTGTTTGACTTCCCTCTAATGAATTATGTTACTAAAATGACGCAGCTAGAAGGGAAATTCACCTTTGCCATTTGGACCTCTGTGTAATACCACCCTCCCCGCCCCCTTGCTCTTGACTGCCCACTGTTTCCCATCGTATATGCAAGGAAAGCACTGATCTGCCGGCATCAAAGATGGGTTGCCATGAACTTAAAGCAGTCTTAAAATTCCACAGAAAAATGGTATGCTCAGAAAAGAGCCCCATTTACTTTGTTAATTATTTACGTAGCTATATTCTAGGTATTGCTTTTACCTAAAGTCCACAAACTAAATCTGGTCCATAGATTTTGTTTGTTTGTTTGTTTGTTTGTTTGTTTGTTTTTACCAGTGCAGAGTTTTAAAATTTTGAATCTGTTGCCAAAATTTAAAACGTGGACAAATACACACACACAAAAAATTCAGGTTGTTACCTTCTTTTGGGAAGAAAAAAAAACGGCCTAGGTACAGGGGACCTGCAGCAACTAACTGGCCCCAGTTAGGTGCTAACATCTTTGTGGGGGCCCCCCCCCACTTTCCCCATTTGCATAACTGCCCAGCCCCTGCAGGCATCTAAGTTTTGCAACCCTGATGTGTTCTATAAACACTAAAGAGAAATTGGCTTCTTTATTTGCCAGAATGTTTTGGTGATGGACATTGGTAACAAAACTGATACACTTCATAGAAGACTCACCATACCAAAGAAAAATGAAAACAAAAACAAAACAAAAAAAGCTCAGCCCTGAAAAACAAAGCCTTGTCATTTCCTTATTCCTGTGACATTTGTGCTTTTTGGGTGATGTGACCTAGAAATGTTGATAACACAGACAGTGAAAAACTTTCCATTTCAAGGAAGTGTGTAAGCATCCTCTGTTATGTTTAATCAATTTTTAAGTACAGCACAAAATTGTTAGAGAAATTTTGATAAGAACCTCTGCAGTTTTAGAATTTGATCTGTCCCTCCCCATGACCCCTTGCACAAGGTGATAATCCTCTGCGATATTTCAATTAGTTGCTGTGGAGATGACTAGGTTAATGCGAGGAGAGAATGAAGACCTCAGATGGAAAAGAACCAGCAGGTTCTGACTTGAGCACAGAAATCCTCAGTTCACAGGAAAAAAAAAATGGTTGTGTTCTTTAGATGGTTTCTCCACCTCTGTACCCCATAAAACATTTTTAAGTGAAATTTATATTTCCAGTAAAATCTTTCCCCAAATAGAACAAATTGAATGTTCTTTACGGTTTTTACACAAGCACCTCTTTATGGGTCTAAATTTAAATCCTCAAGAGCAGGGACATTTTAAGCCTGGTCTTTAACCACTGAACAGCATTAAAGGTGTATCACAGCTCTTTTGATTAACAGAAAAACCTCTGAACTAGACGCCAAGCTGAGCAGAGGTAGGTTTGATTTTATTTTTCTTGAACTAGAACAAAAACCTTCCATTTTTGTCATGAAATCTTGGTTGCCTGAGCCTTAAGCAGAACTGTAATGAAAATAAAATTTTCAGAAATGAATAAGGATTTGATTGAAAGTTGACATGATATCATGAAAAATGACCTGGCTCACCTGACCCTTCGGTCTGCTTCCACCTTATCATAAATACTAGCCAATCTATCCTGTTTGCCTGGCAAATGTTCAACCCTGAAATAAATCCACAAGGCTTAGCCAAAGTGTTACCCCTGAATATGGCACTTCAGCTGAACGCGTAGTGGTACCTGAGTGGGGCCGGAAATGACGAAGCTGATTCCCCCAGCCTCCTCTGTCCCCACATGTCAGCTTCCTCTTCCGCACTTGGCACCTGTCAGTGCGGTCTAGGAGCCCTGTGTCTTCGTGCTTTCTCCATGTTCTTCTAAATTTGAGAATTTTTACACGTGTTGTGGCATTTTCCAAGATGAATAAAATTAACTTGACACTAGAATTAGTCCCAAGCCCCAAAACTTAAATAAGAATTTATCTGAAAAGGATATGACAGGGCCCTAATTTTCTATCCCATTTACATGCACAAAATAGTTTGAAAAGCAGAGAGTTGCCTAAAGATGGCCAAAGACCCTACTGCTCCTTCTTCAAAGCTACATTTCTTTTGGGGCTTAAGTCCTGCTATCTCTTTAACTAAGACTCTTGACTTTGTTTTAGGCTAAATTTTGTCATTATATTTAAACAAATGAAAACAATGGTTCAACTGAAAAATAAATTGTAAATCAACACATCTGAAGCCTAGTTCTATCATTCAGTAATAGTATCTACAGTCCATTACTTTTACTGGGAATATTTCTGCATTCATGGCTAGGTAATGCCGCCCTTGATGTACAAGTAATACCTGAATTATACATGCCAGATAAGCCATCTGGATCCATTAAAAAAAAAAACCCAAAAAACTAACTGCACTTGTTACTGCAATCAATAATTAAATTCTTTACAGAATGACATAAGGGGCAAAGCATGAGACGAGAAGTCAGCTTATAGGGGCATGGTCCTAGTTTCCCTGTAGGTGATACAACCCAGTCTAAGTCATGTAACCTCTGCAGCTACAGTCTCCCTACCTACCAAGTATAAAAATTGGGAGTACGGACTCTGAAGCCAATTGTGTGTGTGTAAATAATTGGCCAATTGCCATCCATGACACCTTGGAAAAGTCACTTAACCTCGGTAAAATGAAGATAATACTGCTACCTTCCTCCAAGGTTGTCACAAAGATTAAGTCAGAAAAATATATATGTATATTCTCAATATATATATTATAAGAGTCTGGCACACAGTAAATGCTATCGAGTGTTAACTACTGTCATCACTATTAATGTTGTTACTCTCTGTAAACTGAAGAGAGTTTGGACCAGATGATGCCTAAAGTTCCTTCTTACTGTGAAAATCTGTGACCAACTCAGAAATCAGGATTTTCCATCTGAAGTGTCTAGACCTTGGCTGTATTGATGAAGCAGTCATGGTTGAGAAGTGCACTGACTTGCCCATCCCAGAGTGAGTCACCTATCCCCTGAACTCAGACCAGAAACCAGGTCTCCTAACTCCTGGTTTCGAGGTGTTTCACTGTTCCAGGCTGTTTCTCTGAGAAACCGCTCTGACTTGTTGACTTCTACTCAGTCTGGCCATATTCTCCTTTGCTGAAATGGAGATGTAAAAACAGCCAAGTGTCTAAGGTCTTTCACTTGCCAAATCAACCTGTGAATCAGGAGTCAAAAGCGATTGATGAGTTAGTTGGCAAGAATGCAGCCACTGCCCTCTACTGGTTAGTAACATACATTGTGTTGTTCACTGCCACTTCTAAAAGCGGGACCCAAACAGGGAGGGAGGGGTGAGTGGGAACAATTGTTAGGATGAAGTGAAATGACAACGTGTTGACCATAATAACTGGAAAAGAAGCATAATCTGGAAGAGAATGCCACATCCTCTTCCCACCCCTCACCTCATAGGATCCCCCCGTTTCTCTGTGAACACATCGTCATTTTTTTCCTATCTGCAAAACTTGGTTTACATTCTAGGATCTGTCTTCTATAGAGAGCACCCTTTGTGGATAGTTCACTAATTTATTTACACATTGATTTTTTTGTTTCTGACTTCCCATTGTTTTTGTCTTGATTCTCCTCTTCACAAGCTTCATTGATTCTAAGACATAATTTACTGGCTTCTTCCTCTTTCTCTCAGCCTCTCTGTCTCTTTCCTTTAAATTCTTTTCTTTTGTTCATGTTTCATTTTTATGGTATTGACTTATATTGTTTGTGTCTGTGTGTCGTGAATAGGGCCATTAAGATTTATTGTTTCAATGTCTCTAAAGAGATTCTAGTTTCAAGCTTCATTTAGGTGAACCTGCTCTGTTTCCACACAAATGAGTCTGATTCTGTTTGACAAAAGCAGTAAAAAAATTCCCAAATAGTCTTACTACTGCCACCAAGTTTCCATTCAGCACCATTGTTTAAATGGCTTTCTTGTTAAACGTTCAAGACCCTGAGAGGCAGATTCCTGTATGATATGGTTTCATATTCACAGAATCTTCCCAATTTTTCTTTGAAAACTTTTTATTAGCCTTCCCTCCCATAACCCTGATTACCAACATGCTTCTATCTCATAGTCCCTCACATCTAGGTTCCAGCAGACTTCTAAGTGGTCCTCTTACTTCCAACCGCTCTGTCCTTCAAGTGACCAGTCCCAAAACTGCTCGTTCTGTTTCTTCAGATACAGTGTTCAGTACCTCAGCTCCTCCTTGAGAATCTTGCTGCCCCCTTTTGTTTTATGAACTTCAAATTCTCAATCCTAATGTTCAAGATCCTTCAGGATTTGGAGTCTGTTTTACTCATATTTCTATTTTGACTCTATCACTTTATCAGAGCTGCCTGTCTTCTATAAATGCTGTATTGGTTCCTTCATCTCCCATCCCTCGAATGTGGAACTGGCCCGCTCCTCACACCACTGGCCTCCGCCCGTCAAAGCCTACCCATCCTCAGCGTCCAATTCAAATGTCCCCCTTCTGCTAAGAAGCACCCACTGATTTCCCTAAGCCATCATTCATCTCGCCTCTTCCCTTATGGCACCTATTACCAGTTTTCCTTTCTTTTCTGATACAATTCACCTTTATACTTTCATTGTCTAAAGCTTTGAATTGTCCCTTTAACATGTCCATACAAGCTCACCAGATTATGAATTCACATAGACAGTTTTTTTGGCATCAATTTCTTATGTTCGAACTCTATATACCATAGTATAAGAAGAACTAACGTTAGGTAGCACACACTATGTAACCCTCCCTAAGTTCTCAACTCATTTAATTCTCACAGAAGCCCTGTGAAATAGATATTATCCTCCTCATTTTACAAATGAGGAAACCAAAGCACAGAAAGGTTAAGTAACTTACCCAAGATCACATAGCTACTAAGTAGCAGGGCTGAGGTTCAAACTCAGGCATTCGGGCTCCAGAGTCTGTCTCTTAACTACTGTACTATGTATAGTGACATAGTAGGCCCTTGTGATGCCTGTACTGCCATTTGCAGGAAAAACTAAAGAAACATGTTCCTGTTGTCCACTTACTAATTTTACCACTTACTAATTTTTCAAGAGTAATCCTTTCCAGGTCAATGTATATGGCAGATGTGTCTCTATAAAAACGCCAAGAAGAGGTTGGGCCCATCATTTCCCATACCTGTCTAGGTCAATATTTGTTCATTCCTAGACATTGGTGAAAACTCATGAAAGAAGGTCAGGGGTGCCTTCGAAGTCACCAAGACTTTTTGCTAATTCTTGGCTTTGCCTGTCCTTCATCCCTATATTCCAAAATACAGAGTAGTTTCAAATTGCTTATTTAAATGTATAAAGATAATTAAAACTGATTCAGCATGATCCTTTCTTCTTGTTACCTCTTTAAAGCAAATATTCAGTAGGGAAAAATGCTGATTTCCGAAAGAAGAACTTGACTTTTCATGTTGTGATCTCCTGTTTTCTCCTTAGAACACCTCGCTCAGAATATATCTAAATCACACCTGGAAACTTGCCAATACTTGAGAGAAGAGCTCCAGCAGATAACGTGGCAGACCTTTCTGCAGGAGGAGATTGAGAACTATCAAAACAAGGTATACTCTGAGGAATCTTACCGAGGATGGAGGGAACAGTGAGAAGGGTGTTCATGCAGGTGATTTGATCAAGACTACCAACAGACCACAGAATGAATGCCTTTCATCAGCTATCAGATTTCTATTTAAAATTCTCGCTTCCAGAACTCATTGTGTACTTGAGGCATTATCACCTTACTGCGATGCCAGTATGGGAAATTTCAGCAATAGCCAAGAAATTCTGTTGTGCTTTAACTATATGCACATCTCCTATCATTTGTCAATAGGGGGCTAAATTAAGCAATTTCCATAAGCCTAAACTAGTTGGGATTTGTCCCAATATCATAATGGCAGATTTCAAGGTCAGGAAGTTCATGTAAAATAGCAATCTCAGCCTCCTGTTTCTAGACGTTAAGAAAAAAGAGTTTAGGGGGTGTGTATACAGAAAGGTTTGGAATCTATGATTGCAGCTCCAGTCTGCACGTAGCAGTGGAGGCTGACAGGTGTTGCTACTTGACTTTTTTCTGGGAAACCCTCTGATCAACAAGCCACCGAAATGGGAGGGCAGGGCTGAAGAAGGGGAACTTTTAATTCTCCCTTTGGGTAAAGAAAATGCTGTTTTTCTCCCCTGATAATTGGAGGCTTTCAGACTTAGGAAGGACCATAGGGCTTATCTTGGCTAACGCTGCCCTTCACTTTACATAGGAGGAAAGCACATCCACATGCAGCTGGGGAGCACAAACATCAGGACCACACCATGGCTCCTGACTCCTACGTCAGTGTTTTTTCCACCCCATCATGTTGGTGGAAGCAGTCTTAATTTTTCAAGAGTAATTTAAAATTTTTCAAGACTAAGTTTTCAAGAATAACTCTTTCCAGGTCAATGTGCGCGGTAGATATGTCTTTATAAAAATGCCCAGAAGGGGCTGTGTCTCTCATTTCCCGCACCTGTCCAGGCCGATATTTGTTCATTCCCAGACATTGGGGGAGCAGGTGAACAGCACCACAGATCCAGGTCACCCTGTCACTCAATCAGAGAGTGGGTATATAAAAAGAACTCTACATATTGGGGAATAGCAACACATACGTGGTTTGCCTTTGAGATAGCAGGTAATGCCAGCAGCCAAAGAGTCAAAGGGCTGCAGGAAAGCAGGAGCAGCAGCCCAGTGTATGGAGTGGGAGTCAGAGTCCGAGATGCTAGGATTTGAATCCCGGCTCCGATACCCATTTGCTCCGAAACCTCTGTGAGCATTTGTGTCCACTTATGGAAAATGGGAAAATGGGAAAATGAAACAAGACAAGGAGGTCATAAAGCACCTAGCTCATAGCAGGTACCCAATAAATGAAATTGACTCCTCCTCTCTCCCCCTCCCCCAGTAAAATGGTGTTAAATTCCTCAAGGCAAAAATACTGTCATTGCTTAAAAAAAGACCCTGCTCTGCTACTCTCCGTGGCCCAGGGTGAAAGTAGTGGCAAGCGTTTTTATCTTCCGCACAAGCATGCTCGTAACATCTTCCCCCGTCCCTCTGCTCAGAAAGAGGTCAGGGAGGAATTGGAGGAAATGAGAAAGGACTCGGAAGCCATCATTAATTATATCCCAAATAACTGGCCAGCTGTCTATTTTTGAATCCTCTAGCCTTTTTGAGTCCATTTCCAAAGAAGGATTTTACAAAAGAGGTCCAGTTAAACCAACCGAGCCGAGGATATGGGTCGCTGCGTATGTTAATGTGTCTCCCTCTTTAACAGCAGCGGGAGGTGATGTGGCAATTGTGTGCCATCAAAATCACGGAAGCTATACAGTATGTGGTGGAGTTTGCCAAACGCATTGATGGATTCATGGAACTGTGTCAAAACGATCAAATTGTGCTTCTCAAAGCAGGTATGTGCTTTGCAAGTGAATGTTGAGGTCTCTTCCTAACCTGCTTTCACCTGCCTGTTAAGTGCTTCATAAGGAAGGTGTCGGGAACAGTTTTTCTCCGATGATAGTAGTCAGGTTTCTCTTAGCAGAGACTGAGCTCCTTCTAAACGCATTTGAGCTATTTGCAGGAAACATTCCCTCCATTTTGCTTCTCCCCCAGGTGAAAAGATTAATTTGAAGGATGTGTGCATTTCCTAATTTTACCATCACCTGTGCTTTGTTTCGACACTGCAGGTCCTCAGGAGGTTCCAATAAGCTGTTAGGAAGAAAACTATGGAACCTCAGAGAGACAGCTCTGGCCTTTTGTTTGTTTGTTTGTTTTAATATATATGAATAAATATTTGACTAGCAACTCTGAGACTTTATACTGCAAGACAGAAGAGTGACAAAGAAGTAATTTGTAAATCAATCCTTTCTTCAGTAAAGCAGGTCTTAGCTTCCACACAGGCGCTGAATTACACTAGTGAACTTTGCCCTTTTAGATAGAGAGAGCTAATGGGACTGAGAGCCCACTAGCTAAACACCACCCAGTGCGCTGACTCAGAAATGGGTCTCTACATTAGTGCCTTGGAAATAAACTGACCAAGATAGAATAACCCAAGCCATTTTGCCTTTGCTTAGGTTCTCTAGAGGTGGTGTTTATCAGAATGTGCCGTGCCTTTGACTCTCAGAATAACACCGTGTACTTTGATGGGAAATATGCTAGCCCCGATGTCTTCAAATCCTTAGGTAAGAAAGTCTCTGGGTGTTTTGTCTTTAAATCAGAGTTACAGGAACAGATGGGAACTGGGTGAAAGCTCTTATTGAACAAAATGGAAACTGGGTATTTGGAAATAATTAAAGAATTTTATACCTGTTTTTTTGCTTTATAGCTAGACACTGTAGAAAAGTTACATAGTTCAGAGGCCGTTTGTCTATATTACATGTAAATGTCTAAAGTTTCATTTTATGTAGTCGGTAATTGAGGAAATTCATATTATATACCCTTCCAGATTTTAAGAACCAGATAAGCAGGGGGTATATTATTTGGATAAACTAGAGGATGCGATCTGATAAATAAACTTAAGCAAAGAGCAAAAGGTCTGCCCTAACTCCTCAGATAACAAGCATTAATGACAATTAAAGGTAGATATCAGAGAAAGAAAATGTAGCTACTTTATGAATGAAACTGACATATACTTTATAAATTATGTTGGATTTCTATAATTTAAACAAAGTGGAGTATAGTCATTAAGAACAATGGGACTCTATCTAAAATATGTTTCATGATTTTTAAAATAGTAACATGACAGAAGGTATGTATACTTAAGTATAGTATATCTCATTTCCATTTAAAATACAAGTGAGGCGAAAGTAGATTATGAAATACAGAGTTTATTCTTGTATTATTATTAATAATTGTATTATTTTTCATGTGGACTGTAAAACTACTTTTGCCCCACCCTGTATAATAAATAATTAGCAAATCTGAAAGAATAGACACCAAACTTAACCGGTCTTTGGGGCTGGATTATTATTTTATAGGACTTTCGCATTCCCCATTTTCAGTTCTGTAACAGTTATAATGATTTTACACCACTATAATATGTCACTTGTTAGTATTTTTTAAGGGTGTTTTGGATGAAATAGAGTCAAATACCAAAACGAGTGAATTTAACATCTCAGTTCGATTGTGCTGTTGAACTGTCGGTTAAGAGCGTGAGCCCTGAAGTCAGGCAGCCCGACTTGGTCTCTCAGGATGTTACTTCCGACCTGTGTAACCTTAGGTGCCGGACATTTTTCTCCAAGTCTATTTCTTTACCTCTAAAATGGGGATAATAAAAATAATACCTCCCTCACAGGGCTGCTGTGAAATAGTAGGAAACCCAAAGAGATCTCTTAGAGCAGTGCGTAACTTACTAAGCACCCGGCAGAAGTCCACTCTCATTCTTTTGAATGATGACGATATGGTGGTAGGGATGGTGGGGATGATGACATTGGCCGGGTTTTTCTTTTAAGATTTCAAACTATTAAACAGTAGAAATGTTGTCAATATCCCCTCTCATCTTCAGCTATTAGATCCCTCTTCAGTTTCTTCCATGTTTCTCTCCTGGGATGATAACCAAAATCCCACACTCTCTTTGTTTTAATTTTCGCAGGGTGTGAAGACTTTATTAGCTTTGTATTTGAATTTGGAAAGAGTTTATGTTCTATGCACCTGACTGAAGATGAAATTGCATTATTTTCTGCATTTGTACTGATGTCAGCAGGTAAGATAACCAAATAAAAGTAAAGTGGTTTAAAAAATTGTCCAGGTAAAGAATTTTTACCAGGTCCATAACGTTTGGAATATTCGGAAGCTACCAAGAGAGGCTGTCCCACTTATTAAAGCTATTTTTAATTTTTTCAAACAACAGCCTCCCCCACAACACATACATATATCCTTTCAGAAAGACGTTATGCTATTCTGATAAAAATCTCAAGATAGGAGAATTGAGTAAAACCCAGTCCATAAGTAACCTCCTGATACCAAGAGAAATGCTATGGTAGAGTTGGGTTTCCCTTCTTAATACCAATCTCCAAGACAATATGATTTTTAAGAGATCCAACTTCTTTCTGAAATCCACTTGGATGTCATCCACAAGTTTATCTCAGTTCAATCCATGTTTTCAACCAGTACTGCCCCTTGGGGATCATCAGTTTTGCTAATTTACTATCTTATACCCAGAATTCTTTTCTTTTTTATTTATTGATTTTTAGAGACAGTGAGAGAAACACCACTTTGTTGTCCCACTTATTTATGCGTTCATTGGTTACTTCTTCTATGTGCCCTGACCAGGGATCAAACCCACAAACTTGGTGCATGGGAACAACACTAACCAACTGAGCTTCCTGGCCAGGGCCTACTTGAAATTCTTACACATTAAGACTTTATCCTAAATTATGAAGTTCAGGTCATGTGGAGTTCAATTGACAGTTTTAGTTGCCTTGGATTAAAAGGTTATTTTCAAACTTCCCAGGAAGACTAGCAGGATTGATATAAATATTTCCTTCAGAAATGTCATTCTTAGAAAGCATGGCTTGAGAGGCCGTGGTGATTTTATTGCACTTGTACGTGTGTGACCTTAGATTTAAGTGGCTATCCTTTTGAAAGGAGAGGACCCTCCCTTCCTTTAAGCATCAGTAAAAATGGAAAGGTTTGGTACCCTTTATACTGTCATATATCAGTGTTCTACTCCAAATTTTGAAAGAAGAGTGAAACTGACCTGTTTGTTTCTGACTCTGCCTTGTGTTATAATACTCTGAGTCTAAGAGTCAGGAGGAATCAGGGTTTCTGACATCATGTTGGAGGAACATTAAAGAATATCATCTTTCATGTGTAGATCGCTCATGGCTGCAGGAAAAGGTAAAAATTGAAAAACTGCAACAGAAGATTCAGCTAGCTCTTCAGCACGTCCTACAAAAGAATCACCGAGAAGATGGAATACTAACAAAGGTGAGAGCTAAAGGTTTCCAGTTGACAATGGCCTGAATCACCACTTGCCACATATCATGCTGCCCTCGTAAGTCATCAGCCCCGTCCCCAACAGTGTCAGTAAGCTACAGGCTACTGAAAGGAAAGACATATCTCTATTTCAAAAGTTCTGTGGAGCCAAAACTCAGGTTAAATTCTACTTATTATCATTGGTTATAAAGTGCCCTACAATAAGGAAATAGTAGAATTATTTAAAGCATTAATACATTCTGGAAACCCTCTCCCTATTCCATCAAAGTTGAACACAAAGCAGAGTTAATGTTCTTCACTGATAGGAATTAGATAATCTGCGAATTTTGAAAGAGAAAGTTATGAAGTACTAAAACAATTAACTAGGAAAACCATATATTCTAATATTAGTTCTCTTTCCATTAAATTCATCAGTCATCAACAGTAAATGACTTTTGTATTTTCGTCATCAATTTCCCATTATTCCCCTGTATTCAAAGCATAAGCTTTCATTTTTAATAATTATTATTTTCTGCAATAAAAGCATAATTAGGATGTCAATTTAAAATATGCTAATATTCTTCAGTGCTAGAGCCAGGGCTCTATATTTGGTCTTAGAAAAATTGGCCCTTTCTTAGATTATTTTTTGTGTTCTATTGTCCAAGAGGATGATTCGAAAGATTTTTTTTCCTGTTTATTTTCTTGTATTCACTCCTGATAGCTAGGTTAGGTCAGGAAGGGGAAATTGAGGGTTAATTGCTGCTTTGTTTATGATTCTGCACCAGTTAAATGTAAGATTGGGGAAGGAATGGGAACTAGAAGGAAGATGAAATCTCAGAAGCTTCCCTCTTTTCTCCATCTTCTTACTATAAGGCAAAGGTACCATTAGGTTCTTTGATTATAAAGCGTCCCTCACACATGGACAAGATCTATGATCTGGCAAAAACATTTCTTAGAGAGGAATTTTTCTGGGTTGAAATAATAATTATTTCATGTTTTCATAGTGCTTTGGAGTTTAAACAGTATTTTTGGAAATTGTAGTAGTATTTTCAACTGGTAAATGCTGGGACTTCCATCTAGGCCTCTGACTTTCCTTTTTTTTTTAACTCAGGGAGTTAGACCCAGAATTGCTTTGTTTTAGGGAAACTCTTTCTCAAGAAGAAACTCATCATTAGAGTAGAATGTATATCTGATATGCTGTGATATAACTGTATCATCATTTATTTTTATCAGCCCTCTCTTACTAGCATTTAAGGTGCTTTCAGTGTGTTTCACCGTTATAAACAATGTTGTAAAGATCATCCAGACTCCCTAAGTTTTTGTTTTCATGTGTATTCTCTCCTAACAACATGTCCTTTCTTCCACTTACAGTTAATATGCAAGGTGTCTACATTAAGAGCCTTATGCGGACGACATACAGAAAAGCTAATGGCATTTAAAGCAATATATCCAGACATTGTGCGACTTCATTTTCCTCCATTATACAAGGAGTTGTTCACTTCAGAATTTGAGCCAGCAATGCAGATTGATGGGTAAATGTATCACCTAAGCACTTCTAGAATGTCTGAAGTACAAACCTGAAAAACAAACAAAAAATATTAACCGAGACACTTTATATGGCCCTGCACAGACCTGGAGCGCCAACACACTGCACATCTTTTGGTGATCGGGGTCAGGCAAAGGAGGGGAAACAATGAAAACAAATAAAAGTTGAACTTGTTTTTCTCATGCATATGATTTCCATTATGCCTACAGATATGGACCCTTTTTCTGTCTCGACTTCTTGATCGTTGACCTCTGTTTACAACAGAAGGAGGGTACTAAAGTTGGAGGATTTCCTTTTCTCATAGCTCACTGCCCACAGACTTTCTACAGAGTCACCAATCTGTTAGTAATAAGAGAGTCCAGCAATAATCGGTGACTGGTGTGCATAGCGGAGGTTGCAGCATTACTTTGCACAACTTGCTCTTTGTTTCATGAAGGAAGTTTTTATTTTTTTTCACCGATTATTGCCAGTCAGCAGGATGGCACGAAAAGGGTCCATAGCACTAGCAACAATAGCATTATAATATATTACAGGGTAAATGGGCATGAAGACTATATATAGCTAAAAGAGATATTGTTTATATATTGTTTTAATTAATATAAAATGTAGTTACTGGTGTAGCTTTTCCTGTTGAATTGATAAGGCACTTTCATTTTGCACCTTTTTCTTTAAATTAAATGCTAGCGTGTTCACTGTCGTGTCGCATGTGCACCAGAAACACAAGTTTAACTGAAAAGGCTTGGAAGGTACGTCGGGAGGTATTTATGCTGCTGTTTACAAAATTACTTTTAAAAGACTGGCTGGTCATATCTAGAAATCACAATGTTGGATTATTTTTTTTTACATGTGAATTTGGAATTAGAAATGAAACTCTCCCTAAATTACACTTTGCATTTAGGTACGTTTAAGGATAGATGTGTTTATGCTTCATACAAAGTCGAATGATTGATTGGTGCTGTGGACTTATACCGTCATGCACATTATTAAAAAAAAAAACAAAACTCTTAAATGCCACCTCAAGGAGGCAGGAGAGGGGAGGCTCCTTTTGTACAACTCAGTAGTTATCTAGACTCAGTCTCAACTTGGAATTCATGTGCTTTAAGAACAAACCAGAAAGCAGAATATTTTATTGGAATCTAGTTTTTATAATAAGAAAGACCCAAAGATTCTATGTGGAGCAAACTCACACTCCCCATGTGAGGACATGAAGCATTCACTTTGTGAATGTTTATGTTCTTGGTATAATCTAGGAACCCGAAGAGTTTGTCTCAGAGTGAATTGTTTCTAGATTAGCCGCCTCTAGATTCTGTAATTCTAGAATGTTGCTCTCCATATTTCATAGACAGTGAATGGGAAGGTGAGGGAGGCATACCATGTTGAACCAGTTTCTGTTATTTAAATATTAAGTATTTTAAGCCTTTAAAGTGAAGTCAGTGCTAGCTGAGAACATTTACTTTTGTATTTATTGTCACAAGAAAACTGTGGACTGTAATTTATTTTATTAAATATTTAGAGGATTATTTGGCTTTGGTGGTCAGGTGAGAAATAGTGAGGTGTTTTGTTTTTTAATTTTGTGGGTTTTTAAAAATAATTCCCAATGGGGGAAGGAAGAAAGAACTGATATACAAGTGTGCATATTTTAAAAATAAGTGACCTTTGGGAATGTAGACATTGAAAGGATGATTCCAGTCCCACTTGGGGTAGGAGTCAAACTTCTGGTCTGACATCAATGACTGTGTTTGTTCAGAAAAGGGAGCATCTTCCCAGAGTATAAAGGTGGGAGTTTCCAAGCAGCCCTTTATAATGGAGACAGTGTCTCCTTCACCACCAGGTCCCTCCTAAATCTTCTGTGGGAATTGTGGCTCCTGATGTTGTGCTGGGTCACACCGCAGGCTTCCCAGAGCCCTTCACTCTCTTTTGAACTCCACTGACTTGGAAAGGGAGAAGGAATTATTCACACAGAAGTGTGTATGAAGCCTAAATAACATCTAAAAAAATTTTCAAAAATATAGTAAGGGTTTAACCGTAAATAGAAGAGTATTATTTACTTAAATTTCTTACAAACATATAAGACTTTATAAGTGTTTATATAGAGAGGTTAACTATAAGCATATAGTATTTATATTTGGGCAGGAAGGGTTAAATCAAATTTTTAATTTAAATAAGCATAGTTCCTTTAAAAATCAATAGTATTTATACTCTGAAAAAAGTACCAAGTGTAGTTATTTATTTGTCCATGTTTTTCCTATTGTTTCTCCTCTGAGGGGAATGGTGTATTTTTACTTTGGTTTGGTTTTGTTTTTTGTTTTTTATCGTTCTGATTCACTAAATTTTAATAAAGTATATTAACTTCTTTTTAACCAAAGCTTTCTGAATATGACCAGCCTCAGGTGCTAGCGCATTAAAGAGCAACTAAACCTAATTCCAGTGTCCATTTATGAAATGATATGAGTTAACTGAACTTCTCTAAGGGTGAGAGAACACATAATGTTGAACTTAAAAGAAATTCCTTTTCTCAGAAAGGATTTTGCATGTACCTAATGCAAAAAAAATAATGACCTAATCACAGTAATAGTCACTCTGTAGTGACATTGCTTTTAGAGTAAACCAAGATACATTGACATGATGCTGCTACTAGGTCTTCCTGAAAGAAAAGTAGGGTGTGGACTTTAAGAGCAAAGTGCTTGCAGAGTGTAGGAACAGAGTAGTAGAGGCGTGCTCGGTGAAATGAGGGAACAGCTCACTGTTACTTGGATCAAAGTTGGGATATGAAGTTAAACCGTAAATTCAGCTGAGAAAAAATATGAGGTATAGAAAATATATGAAAAATGTTGCATTTTTATTTTCTTCCTTATTATAGAAACACCAATGAGATGATTCAAAATATTTAATGATACAGAACACTTGTTCTTATTAGTCCTTATAAAAGTCCCTCAACTTAAAAATGCCCAATAGTCTTTTAAATATTGGAATCACATCATTGTCATCCCAGCTGCTATAAGGCCTTACATACAATGTTTTACATCAAATAAATGAGGCATTTGTACAAAGCCTGAATACCTTCGGTTACAGTGTTGTCCAAATGGTTGTAGTCTACTGCGAAGAAACTGGCCTTGGTCACAATACAATCAAAAGTGCAGATGAAAGTGCTTTTTTGGACAGTTTGCAAATTGTGTTAAAGCTGTGGATTTTTTAAAGCATTCAGCATCCTAATTTACGTTAAAGCTATGGATTTTTTTTTAAAAAGTCTTCAGCATCCTAATTCACCCTTCCTAACTTAAAGAAAACATGACTTAAGACACTGCTTCTAAGTTTGGTTGTTCTTTATAGTGTGGATACCCAGATGTCTGTGAGCGTATAGGGGTGGGCTGAGGGTCAAGTGAGGAGGGAGAGTGTGTGTGTGTGTGTGTGTGTGTGTGTGTGTGTGTGTGTGGTCTTCATGTGTGATGTGTGTGTGTGTCGGACCGCTTCTAGGCTACTAAGTGTCAATGTAAAAGAAAATGTATTCAAAATACTTAAATCAAAACTAGAAGATGGAGAAAAAAGATTTATTCTATACAAAGCCTTGTCTGGACCACTTTAGAGAGACTTCTATTTTTTTAACCCTTCTATAAATATTTGATGGCACTTGAAATATTCCTGCAATAACATGTGATTTGTGTAAAGAAAAAAAAAGATTTTGTAATGTGAAACAAAGAAAGAAAGTAATGTAATTTTCTAAAAAAAATACAAACAAACAAACTTTGTATTATTTTCTTGATGGAATTTGTCTATCTGTCTTTGGGAAACTTTTTATTTCATTGAATGTGCCATAGTAGAAATATGTGTTTTTAGTTTTAGACTAAGGAATAGCTGTTTGTGTTCCGACATTCCAGAATGCAAAACAACCTAGTAGAATCTTTAATGAAAAGGTTAAAGTAGGATGTAAGCTTCTCTCATCGTTGCTTTTTTGCACATGTTCTTCATTCCTCTCTAGTGCAATATGTACATAGAGCACTTGCGGGTGTACCTTGATCCCTCAGGGAAAAATACATATTTGTACAGTTGTTGTTGTTGTTTTTTCCTTTTGTTTTTGGCTAAGGAATGTCGACTGAATCACTTGTTGTTGAGGGGCAGCCAGATAATAATCCTAAAGCCACTGTTTCAAACATCGATTGTTTAAATCATGTGTCCTTCCAGTGCTATTATTTTAAGATACTAATAATAAAAAGTTATTTTCTGACAGTTCTTTGTGCTGATTGGTGAAAAAAAAAGGGTAAATAAGCACCTTATGATTGACTTACTGTGAATGACAATCCATCTTGGTATCAACAATAGAAGCCCTATCATTTTGGAGTTGGGGTTAAGAGTCAGAAACAATGTGCTCAGGGATCTTCTAAAACTCTTAAAACAGGGTGGCCAGTACTACTGGGACAAATTGTGTTTTTCATTATTAATAATAATGGTAATACTATCCCTCCAAGGCACAAGTGAACTGTATAGAACTAACTGCATGTGTGTTTAAACTTCACTGTCATCTCATTTTGTTGAGTTTGAAACTTATGTGTTCTTAAGTTTTGTGTGCTTAAAAACATTGAATAACTTCCAGAGCTGTAGAAAGTTATGCCTTATGTTCAAAAGATAAATTATTAGGTCATATACCAACAGAGAGCATCATTCAAAGTACAGCCCTGTGTACACCATTTATCATTTCTCAAATAATTAAAATATTCATGATAAATATATTTATAGCATTAGCTATTAAAAACCACTTCAAGTTCTACATGATATGGATAAAAATTTAAACCAAATGAGATGAGGGGCCTGCCTGTCGATGGAGTGAAACAGGTAAAAGATAAAACATGTATTTTTTTAATGGCCGTAAACAACTATTGTTTTCACTGTATTCTCCTCTGGAAGCAAGCCAAAAAAAAATCCCTTTATGTAACACAATTCTTCTATTTCCATATTTGTAGTTTTTAATCTGTTACCCACCTGATAACAACAACATGAACCAGCTTTTATGGTCACCTTTTACATTTTTGAAATATTGTTTTGTTACCATATTTCAATATATTGTTTGTCATAAAGTCAGTTAACATCAGTGTAATTGTTGGTTTTGATTCTTCCATTTCACACTTGGAATATACATTCAGAGAAAGCTTCACATACTTTCTTATGCCCACACAAGAGCATAATTTGGGAAAACTTTTCATGTCATATAAATGTAAAAGAAGCCTTTACCTTGTTTTTGATAATAAAGACTACGGAAATAGGCAGATATATCTCTTTCTCATATATGTATACATATATATACACACACATATACAAATAAACATTATTGACAGTTTTACATATTATAACATTTGATTGCCACTTCTACTTACAAAGGAATGACACAGCAGAACCCCACAAAAACAGCTTTACACTATAGCTCAGATTATGTGCCCAGAAAAGCAGTTGCAACAGTAAATCTTGATCTATTGCTAATAGTCTATAGCACTGGTCTTCATTCTATCCCTGAACACTAGAATTATGAAGAGATTCCAGCAGATTTCATTAGACCTTCCTATGATTGTTTATTCTTAAGAGATAAGGCTAACAAGCCATGGCTTTAGAAAGCAATCGGTTTCCCTTCCGCGTCTGGTTGCTTGTTTGTTAGTATAGGTGAGATCAGTTTTGTTAGACTCTCAGAAAATTTTAAAAATAATCCAAAAGCCTGGTTTCATACCAAGGAAACATTGTAGATGGGGGAGGGGGAGGAGATCTTCATGTTTAAACAGACCCTCAGAACTTAGAGCAATAAATACATTCATTCATTCATTCATTTATTCATTTATAAATTAATGACAGAAGAGTTGATCCAATTAGAAACATTTTTTCCAGCAGTGAAACATGAAATGGAGTCTTGTGTTAAGAAAGTGAATATGAATATATTAAATGGATGCCTAGAGAATCTGTGTTTGCTGTTTACATTTAGTATGTTTACCACATTAGCAATGTCACTATTTTTCTTCTAAGAACTAATGAAAGATAGCTTGTTCTCAGCTTAGACATGCTGCACATGCAATTATGCTGTTCTCTAAGGGCAACTAAATTCTCTCCAGTGTTCATGTGTGATTCCTTTCTCCTTCATTATTACTTCAATGTGGAGGAATACTTTTTCTAGAAACTTGGTCATTGTTGAACAGATTGCATATGTAAATGCAGATAATTCTTGAGCATATAGTGAATGTGGTTTCACACATACACACACACACACACACACACACACAAAACTGTATGTACTGTACACACCTTCCTGAATTCAAAATTCTCTTCTTACCACAGTGGTTTGAAATCTCACATAAAACAGTGGTAAATTTTTAAACATTAGGACATTAGCTGGCTGCTTCTTTAAATGTACCTGTATTGTCTGCCTGCTCCTTTTGTGGAGATGTGTTTTTGTATTGGATGTTTGGGCCAATGGGAGGCTTCAAGCTACAACATATTTTCCCAGTTTAAATATATTTAACATATGACAAACCCCAGACAAGGCTTTTAATATGTATAAAGAACTGCAGTGTTAGGTGGTTTATTTGCAAACCGTTTTCAATGTTGTCCATTTTTATGGCACCTTTAACAATATTCTTGTTTCCAAAGTACAAAAAAAAATAGGTTAAATATCTAGCCATAACTGAATGTCAAGCAATAAAACAAATGACTTTTGTGTATAGACTTAAAAAAATACAAATTTTAGACATCTGCATGTAAATGCAATCTCTTGTTTACTGCTTTCTTCAACTCGAGCAATTGACTCCTTATTTACTATTAACTTAAGAACTTGTAATGGCCTGTAAACATTTTCTCTCTTACTCTTCTTTCAAATTTACCTTCATCCCTGCTTTTGAGTCATAATATTTAATGTTGTTCTGCACATCTCTATACAGTTAACTTTTTGGCTTTCATTCTGTATAGATAAGAAGATGTTATATTATAAACAGCCTACTCAGTGCAAATATTTATCTGTTTATCAAATCCACAATATGCTGTATAATACTGGTTTTACTATATAATCTATTTTAGACATAGCTGTTTAGAACTAGAGTGTGCTATTTTTGTGTTTTTCTGATGTGTGGTGCTAGATAAGTTACTTTTGTGAACAAAAAAACCCCTTTTATTCCTAGACAATACCACCTTGGGTCTTGTTAATTTCACTGAGTATAACTATATATTTGTATATATATACATATATATATATCTTTACCTGTGCCCAACTAGCAGCTGTATCAGAGTGCTGGATTTGGGACATGCTTTTCTCTTTAAATACATAATATCATTATATAAATTATTCTAGAGTGTATTTAATTAGGATAAAATTACTTCCTTAGTATGGATATTTGACATCTATAGGGTGAATTTGTTTATAAATATGGATATATGAAAACTTATTAGCAATTACTTTATGTTTGCTACTTGGCTTTATACCATATCTCCTGAGCTGAAAAATAATTTGCCAGGCCTTCAAGATCCTAAAGAAACACTCTAGTTCAATGGAGTAATACTTTTTTTTCTTACTAAGGAATTATATTACTGATACCTGACAGGGTTGTGTACTTAGCTCCTATTGTAGATATTAGGCATTTACGTAAAATACCCTTGGTGGCTTGATGGCCACCTTTTCCCTCCTACCTGAGCCACGAGAAGTATGAAGACATCCACTGACATGGCAGAACGTGGGCCATAAAGCAAATTCGACAAAGGATGTTCTGCTCTAAATTGACCTCAACCAGTTCCATGAACTGAGTGAAGGACCTTCATTTTAAAAGTCATTTAATAATGAGCTTAAACTCTTCCACCTATTCTCCCAAGACCTATTGGCACTGTTAAAAATCAAAGTATATCAAATATCTAACTAAGGATGTAGTTAACCTTATTAAATATTGATTAGAATTGTTCTGTAATATTACTGAATTTGTAAGATCTTTAGCAAAGATTTTTGAGCAATTTATAAATATAGAGCAAATGTTTCTGTTTACTGCACTTTTTGTAATTGAAGGTGATAAATTCTCAAGCCATGGTTATTGGCTTCCATGCACTGCATATTTACCCACAATTTAGACATTTTCCATTTTTATGGAAGAGTTGCTGTTACCTTAATTATAAATGCAACATGTGGTTAATGAAAGCTAATGCTAATAGTTAACCTTTTAAAGTGAATTGGCTACAGTTTAGGGAGAAATCTCTTTTTAACACAAATCATGTCATTCCTTATTGTTTTGCTTAGAAAGAGATGGAAACTTTTTTTTAAAGCACTATTCAGTATCCTAAGCTTCCTGAAGATAGAGATTGTATTTCTTTGTTTCTGCACAATGGCCAGCACATCAGCATTTGATAATTGTTAAATGACAACAACGTGTGCCCCAATTCAAACTCTTTTTCTGGGTTGTTACGGTAAATTCATAAAGTATGCCAAGCCTTATGGTCAACACTCTCTTCTACAACCAAGTATTAAATACACTTTTAAAAAGACCACATGAAATGCTGATTCTAATTGTGTGTCGGTCTTGAGGATTAAGCACACAAATTTCACAAAACTCTGTGAGTAACAAACTCAGCCTTCTGTAAATATACATGCAAGTTTGGAAACAGTAATACTGTACCTATAAATATATCTGTCTGTTTTGTGTACAGTATGTAAAAACTCCTTTTCTGCCACACTAAAAATGCAAGCCATTTATGGGTACCCTAAAAATAGTATTGTACTAAAACTTTGCTAATGATCTTTATTGGAGGATCATCCAACTTTTCACATCATTGGGTTTTCTTTTCAATTCACTCTTACAGTAGTCTGCTTATTTCCAGCTGTTTGTTATTTTACTGTGTCCTGAATTTAAAAAAAAAAATATTTTGATTCATTTTGTAAATACAAGCTGTAAAAAAAGAGAGATTTAATGTTGTCTTTTAAATACTCCAATTTTCATTCTAATATGAATGTTGTTATATTGTACTTAGAAACTGTACCTTTAATATTACATTACCTTTATTAAAAGTGCATTGAACACATCAATTTTAGATGTGCTTTATGTACTGTTATCCTATAATAAAACTTCAGCTTCTAATGGAATTCTTGCCTTGTTTTTCGTCTTCCTTTTTTTTTTGTACGTAATTTTCTAGCTTACGTCTTGTCTCCAGAGAACAGTCTAGCAGAGCACGCTACTCAAAGTGTGGTCTACAGGCCAGTAGCAGTGGCCCCTGTGACCTGGGCCTTATTAGAGATGCAGAATCCAAAGTACCACCCAGACCTGCTAAATCAGAATCTGCATTTGTACAAGATCCCCAGCTGATTGGTTTGCATACTAACGTTCAAGAAGCACTGATCTATAATATAGTACTTAAAAAATAAGTCATTTCCATTTTGTAGAGGGAAATATACGTACAAAAATAAAACTGCCCTTTTGATCAAAGGAGGCAAAGAAAGAAGTTTTAACTTGTGAGCTAATGTCTGGTGATTGATAAAGGCTTCGGAGGCTACTTACTGTCTCCGAGGAGAAGGTTGCCAGGACTGATTAGTGATAATCTGCTCTTAGTGTGGGAGGGAAGAAGTCCCGAATGCACACCATGCATGTTCATCTCCGCTTTAGAAATCATTAAAATGTAACATTACAAATACTCCTGAAGGCTTTAATGATATCAGAGACTAACAATCTGACTCTACATGGGCTAGAATTGCCCCTCTACAGCCCTACCCCTCCTCTTGAGTAGATTAGATAGGAGTGAACCAATAAATTTAACATCAGCTAAGTATCACAATCTTATAACAATAAGATTGTTATAAATTACACCATAAATTATTTCTAAAGTAATGTCAAGGACATGCAAATAAAATATTCTGAAGTCAGAATAAGGGCAACTAAGCCTGCCTTTTCCTACACACACACACACACACACACACACACACTACCTAAGTGTGTCTTGCACTCAGTAAAATAAATATTTGAACTGATCCCCAAAATTGTCCCATGTAACAAACAGTCCCTAATACTGCTTGTATTTCCAACTACCCCACAGAGGAGGAAGAATTACATTATGCATGTGAAATATTTGTGGACTGGCATTCCATATAATTATGAAACCACCACCTTCCAGTATCTCGGGAAATTGAGCATTAATGGGAACTATAGGAATTGAAAATATGAAATCAGTTACCTCTAAGCCTCTCGCCAAACTCATGCCTGAGCTACTTGTGATAAAAACAATGGTTTACACTCAGCTCTCCATCGTGGATTAGCTTCCTGCACTTCCAAGAAGGGTCCTTACACAGGAATGTAAAATGGACATCTCAAATTTCTGTTTATAATGATCTCATGGGATAATTAGATAAAGAAACTAAGTGTCAGGTTATTATGACTCTTGGAGAAAAAAACCAAAGAAATAACCAAAGACAGATCAGTAAGACCTGTCCATGTGTTTTAGTTGCTACTTAGTTACTACTAAGCTTTGTTTCATGGGGCAAGAGCAATCTGACCCCTCAAAATTAGACTTCCACTTCTAATGTGCATTTGGATCAAATGGCCTGGTGCAAAGTAGGTCTGCTTCTCCTGCCAGATTTCAAAAGAGGGAGGCTAATGGCTGATGTGCTGACATGCAGATCTTACACATTTCTCCATCTTGATATGGTTCACAAGAAGAAATACATACCTAGTAACAATTATGATAACTTCACTTAGCTAGGTGCTCGCGGTTTTAAGCATTCTTTTTGAAATTTTGGGCTGATGAAATATTTTACATACTCAAATACCTACTATTACAAATTCTTTCAAACTGAAATTGGCTTCTCATTAAACTTCTGGGTTTGGTTCTCAGTTTAGCAGAAATGGAAAACCAAGTCTTTCTTCTGCTTAAAACTCCAAAGAATAAAAGAGTACAATCACTTTGGACAGTAGTTTGGCAATGTCTTGAAAAGTTAAACATAAATTTATCATACAACCCAAGAATTCCACTCCTAGGTATCCACCCAAGAGAAATGGAAACACAAAGTTCACAAAGACTTGTACACAAATGTTCACAGCAACATTACGCGTAATAGCCAAGAAATGGAAACTACCTTACGGTTCATCAACTGTCAAATGGATAAACAAAATAAGACATATCCATAAATCGGCTACTATTTAGCTACAAAACAGCTACTCATACCTGCCACAACATGGATTTTCTTCAAAAATACCCTGCTAAGAAAAACAATCCAGGTGCAAAAGACTACATATTATGTAGTTCTATTTATAGGAAATGTTCAGGAAAGGCAAATCTACAGAGATAGAAAGCAGGTTAGTGTTTTCCTGGGGTTGAAGGTGACAAGGATTGACTGAAAAGGAGCACAAATGATTTTCCAGGGTAATGGAAATGTTCTAAACTTGGTGATGTTGATAGTTGCAAAACTCCAAAACTCCCTACACTTACTAAGTATCACAGAATAGCATAACTAAAATGGGTGAATTTTGTGGTAGGTAGATTACACTTCAATAAAGTGTGCCTGTGCGCTTGCACGCTCTCTCTCGCTCGCGCGCACGCGCACACACACACACACACACACACACAGGTTTTCTCATCACCAATAATAATATAGTCCAAAATCTCAAATTCTCTAGCATGGCATGAAGACCCCCTCTAGCCCCTCTCCTCCAATGACCTTCGTTCCCTCTGCTCCATACATACACAGTAAGGCAGTAACATCCCCCCTTCCCCAGAACACACTATTCCACACTTCTGTGATTTTTCACACCTGAAAATGCACAGTCCCTTCTCTACTCAGCAAACTCCTACTCATCCTTCAAGACCCACTGTATTCAAACTTCTCCAAAATGGTCTCTAAAGTGTCTCAGTCATCAAAATGAGTTCCTTCCTCATTGTGATCCCCTCAAATCTCCTTTAATATGTGTATATCACTTCTTGTTTTTATTATAATCACTTGTTTTCAATGCCATATCCACTGTGTTGTGGGTTTTGCAGGAGCAGAAAAAGTATATGCTAATAGCTACTATTTGTTGATCATTTCCTCTTTGCATATTACTTTTTTTTTTTTGCATATTTACTCATTTACATGTTACTTCCCATCCTCATGGCAATCCTATAGGTGAGCTATCACTGTCTCCTCTACTTGGGTTCAAAGAGAAGACACAACTAATTCTAGGATCACACTGCCTGTAAGCAGAGAACTGAAATCAAACCCATATATGCTGGACTCCCAAAATCCATATTCTTTTCACTAAATTGCTCCTGGTTTACAAAGCAGAGCATATAGGGAAAAAAGGATGAGAAAGGATTAAATATATATATTTAATATATTGTAATGGCAAAATTATGAGACCTGATTTTTCTTTTTTAAGCTTTATTTTTTAAATTTTGTTGTTACTCTATTACATTGTCCCAGTTGTCCCTCTTTACCCTCCTCTGCCCTGCCTTCAACAGTTGATCCCCACACTGATGTCCAAGATGTGACTTTTAGAATCAGCTTTATTATACTGATCACGTAACGTTGGAAAAGTCACTTGACAATCTGGGCCTCAGTTTCCTTATCAGGGTTGGACTAGATAATCTCCAAAGTTCCTTCTGGCTCTAAAAATTCTGATTCTGTGTGCTATCTTGAAACCACCGGAACTCAAGATACACTAAACCAGAGTAGACTGCTTGCTTGATGTTAATCTAGAATCTCAACACAAGCCATATCTGGTGATGTTACCATAGCACACCACTGTGGGCAGCTGCATCCTGGCTGCATGAAAGCTTAAACAATTCCGGAGCCATCCTTGAGCAGTTCCTGAAGACTAGGACAGGACTCCCACCTCTCTCTGTGACTGCATGCTTTATGAGATAGTACTCAACACATTAACTTCTACATTGCCTCATGTCCACATCCGCCCTAGTACAGGCCATCAATATCACTCACCTAATAAGAAATACTACCTGCACAGTGCCCGGCATTGCACAAGTTGATCTGCAAGCATTCACAAGCACTGTCTCCTAACCATCCTCTTCCCTACAACTCATTCACTACCTTGACAGATAAACTGTCCTGAAACATACAAGATCTGATTTAGTCATTCCTCTGCTTATAAGCTCCCCTCTCCTACGAGCATTCTATTTTTTATACAGTAAAGTCAAAATCCTTAGCTTGGCTTACAAAATCTTCTGTGGTCTGATCCCAACCTATTTTTCCAAGCCCTTTTCTACTGCTTGTCATAAACCTTGCACGCAAGACAAAATAAACTACCTAAGTGTCCTTAGAGTCAAAGGAGTTTTTTAACGTAAGCATAATTTTTATGTTAACATATTTTAAACACCCGAATCATTCTAAACTTTAGTCCTGATAGCACACAAACTGGACTCTGTTCATGCAATACGTTTGTGTAACTCCTTGTGCTGGTTTCTGTCTAGAATGCTCTTTCCCATCATCTTCATTCATCAAATTCTTCAAATGAGCTGGTATGTCAAGTGGCCAATGTGATAAAGGACATATAAGTACTCAGTACATGTCTTTAGCTACTCAAAGCTGCTTTCTGTCCCTCTCACTAGTAACTTCTCTCCCTCTCTGTACTAACACGATCTTTTCTATATACCTATCTTAAGTAGCTTATCACTTCCTATTTTGTTTTATAATCATTTAATGGGAATGTCATAGATTCTCAATGATCAAAAGCTCTTAGAAAAAATTCTATTTGGTCTTAGTCCTAGGTGTATCCAGCACTAAACACAAATTGTAAGTGCTCAATAAATCTTTCCTTAATGGATGAGGGGAAAAAGAAAAAACAAACAAACAAACAAACTAGTGTGAGAACCAGTGAGGCCACTGGTGGAAACTGACATCTAAACCAGGATAGGGATGGAGAGCTACTACGTGCCAGGTACTGTGCTAAACTCAGTTCCTTCTATGCTACTGAATCCTTTCAAAACCCCTACTAAGTATGTCTCTCAATTTTACTGATGAGGTATCAGGGTTAAAGGAGTTGAAACTGTGAGCTAAGGTCAATAAACCAACCTGTGGGGGCCTGTCCAGTACTATACTTGTCACCAGCCCTTCTTTCAATTTATCATATTCCGCAAGGTGGAGGACGTTTTGGGACAACAAGGAACCCCCAGCCCCTTCCACCCTGCAAGGCCAAGCAAGCGCAGTCTGGTCGCTTCCAAGCTAAACAACTCAAACGCGCCGGTCAGAGCTCGGCCCTAACGAGTCGCACGGGCCCCGCCCGCTGCGTTGGGAGTGACGTCATCACGCTGAGCCGAGGCGGCGCGGCACGTCCTTTAAATAAGAACTTCCGAGGCGCGCGCGACAGTGTGTGGAGTGGAGACGCGGCCCAGGCCAGAGTTACCGCGCTCCGCGAGGTGGGCGGAAAGGCTCCTCTGCGGCGGAGAAGCGGAAGGGAGGCTGCTGCCCTGCAGGCGGGCGCGTTCTTGAGGGGCGGGAGGACGGAACGGGGCACGATCGGCCGGGACGGGACGCTCGGCTCCCGGTTCTGGCGCGGCCCTGACCCCCGGCTTAGCTGTCCCCCGTACCTGACCTCCTGAAACCTTGTTTCTTTTCTCCTTTAGTCCCCTTCCCCTCAGCCATTCCTTTTGTCTTCACTGACTCCCGTACCCCACCCTGGGTCCAAGTGTGAGATGTGGGTTAAGTGGGAGCCGGTCAGGCCTGCTCAGTGCTCAGAGACCGACTCCTAAATTTGTAAGTTTCTCATCTACAACTTATCAGTCTGCCCAGGGTGGCAGGAAAAGCCCCGAACATGGAGTGGTCAAGCCCGATTTGTAGTCAGGGTGATTCCTCTAAGTGACCCTGTGAAACGTCACTTGAGTTGCCTGAACCTGGCTCCTCAAAAGTGAGGTTCTAAACTTTGAAAAATATTTGATGGCCCGGAAGCTTTTGGCCTGCGTTGCTTCCCGAATATGCCCCTGACCAGGGTATGATTGGGACACCCATAGCAAGATTTATTGTGGCAATTGTAGGTTGGGGGAGAGCTGAGTTAATAGATATAGCTGCATGCCATCCCAGGATGCAGTGTGGAAGCAATGGCAACACCGTTTTGTTTCCACTCTTATTTTCACAGTAACTGTTGTGAGAGTGACATTCCTGGAGTAAATTAAATGGAGAAGAACTTATCCTACATCATCATCGCTGTTCTACGAAGAGCCTTGGGAACATTCATCTGTCTGCTGTGTGCTGTTTTAGGTGTCCTGTCAGTTTTAGGGTAGGTGTTAGGACCTGATCCTTACCTGAGTTAACAGCATCTGGCCCACCCAAACAATCACGGGCTTTTAATAAAGTTGACCTTTTGTTTTTCCTCAGGTGAGTGTTGGTTCTGGAGAAAGCCCACCTCTGCTGAAGCCTGCATTCCCAGGCAGCAGAACTGTGAGCTAGAGTGAAGCTGAAGTCTCAGGATATGAGCTCCGTTATGGCCATGAGTGAACCAAGGCTGAACTGGTGAGCTACGTGTGTTTGTAACCGCCTCAAGAGAACTAAAGTGGGACTGGACTGGTTTAGGAAGGGAGGCTTTCTGAACTGAAACAGTTTGGAGGAGGCAGAAAAAATAAATTCAGTGGTTCAGAATTTACCCGGTTCTTATCTTCACATACTTAACGCTTTTGAGTTAAAGCTGACTGCACTTCCGAAGTGGCAGTTCAGCGCTCAGATTGCTACTAGGTATGATTCCATCATGTGTTGTGGTCTCAGTGAAGGAGAGATGCTGGAATCTTCTTGTGTCCAAGAACCTTACCCACTTTTGTACAAGCAGTAAAAAGACTTCCCCTTAAAAGATAGACAGGCTTCTTTTTATTATGATGGAATCTATATGTAAATGTGTAGACTACTTTCGAAGTGTATGAGAACTTCACAAATAGGGAACTCAGTTAAGTAACGTAAGTGGTGTTATAGAGATCATACTAATATATGTATTGCTTTAAATGAACACACCTTTACTGAGCATCTGCATTTTGCTAGCCAAGGTAAGTACAAAAGTTACAAGAGATTATAGAGATAATTAAAATAGTACCTGGCTCAAGGAAGATGCAGTCAATGTGTGCTCCTTAAGTATTTGCTTATTGCAAGCAATGCTCCCTTCCCCCAAGGAGCTCCCAGTCCCTGAGGCCCATGACTTTGTTTTTCTATGATATGCAGAAACCTTAAAATGTAATGAGATGGCACAGATACAGTACCATAATAGTAGTAAGAACTACACTGGCGAATAGCAAGCAAGACATTCTAATTTTACCATTTATACTTTAATCGTTTTTTGGATAAATGCCTTTAAAAATAGTAAGAAATTAGTACAGAACAAATACGCTAGAATTTTCCATTTGGGGAATGGGCCAGCCAGAAGTTGCCATTTAATTGGAGGTATACACATTTATGCCCTTTGTCATACAGTGTGTGTTCAGATGCAGCATGGATGCTCTTATATACCATTGATAGTGTGAAACCAAGTGTGCCTTAGAGCCTTTGCAAAGCATTGGAGCCCTTGAACTCCCCTCTTCATCAGGATTCTGACGAGTCTTTGTCCTAGGTTAACAGTTCTCAGTGTTTTTAGTTTTTTAATTTCTTTTGTTCAACTAGCATTTATTGGATGTTTACTAATGGAAAGCATTGCCTGTATTAGTCTCTAAATTATTTATGTAATGGAAAATCATATAGGACCTTAGAAATGGTTTTAGTAGAGACACACCATTTATCACATTTGCCAAGTTAATGAAAATAGGAGATACGGTCTTTGTAGTGCATGAAACAAAAATAAATGAGAAGCATTTTCTGTCAGTAACCAAACATAATGTTATGGCCAGAGCCAGAGGTGAGCCCTGACCCTGGCAGACCTTGTATTGTACTTTAATCTGTCCTATCTTTAACACTCTAGTACGGCCGACATTTAATTGGTTTCTAAAGGAAAAGCAAGGCTGATTGTTGGAATTGGAGAATTCAGAATGGGCCTAGGCTAAAAGCTCTCTAAGAAGGAAAACATCTAAACTCAGACATCTGGTACTTGAAATTAAAATTATTAAGAGGTGATAGTCTAGGAAAGGGGGCGTAGAAGACATGTAGTTATAAATTACAATTGTGTACCATTATGCTGCTCACCCTAGCATGATATTTTTGAATTGCCAAATGCAAGTAAATTACTTTGCTTCACAGGGATGTCTCCTGTAAAAATGGCCTTAAGACATTTTTCTCTCGAGAAAATTATAAAGATCATTCCATGGCTCCAAGTTTAAAAGAACTATGCATTTTATCTAACAGGTAATATGTTTGTTTATTTGGTTAACTCTTTCCATATTTGGTTGTTATTTTTCTGATAGTTGAAGTTTTCTATCTATCTACATCCACTATTAAACATCCAAATTACAGATATATAAAAATTAGAAGAATTCGGTACCCAAAAATGACCTCTCTTTGGTATATGTCTTTTCAGATCTTTTTCCACACGTGAACAGATATATACATATTAAAACACAAATAGGTTCATATTATATTGGGTCGGCCAAAAAGTCCATTTAGTGTTTTCTGTAAGATAAAAGACACATTTTCATTTTCACCAATAACTTTATTGATTTGGATATCTTGTGTAGGTCAGCTATCTCCCGCTACTGGCTTCTAGTGGGTAGAGGCCAGGGTGCTGCTAAACACCTTCCAATGCATAACACAGCCCCACAGCAAAGAATTATTCACCCATAACGTCAGTAATACCAATAGTGTCAATAGCTTCTCAAATCACTTTAGACATGTTCAATCAGTCCACAGTACCTTCTCCATACACTGCACAGATCTTTTTTTGCATTTCAGTTGGTGTTTTTATCTTTCTTGAAATAATAAAGCATAATATGCCAAAAATGTTGCATATTTTCTTCTACCTTCAATACTATAATGGCTGCACAAAAAAAAGCACCTTTTTTAATAAGTTTTTTTTTTTAATGAATGCTGATATGACAGCTGTCACAATACAATCTAACAAAATTGTTTCAAATGAAGTTAAAGACAACTAAGCACTGCTAGAGCCATTGTACGGAAAAAACTAAACAAACTTTTGGCCAACGCAATACTATATAATTCTGCAAATACTATAAAACTTTTATAGTTTGTTTTTTTAATTTAAAAATATTTCCTATATCTTTTTATGTCTCTGCATATAGCTCAGTCTTCTTAATAATTGCATATTACTTCATTACATAAATGCACTTTTTAATTCATTTAGCTAGTCTTATATTGCAAAATGTGGTGTTCTCTTTTTTTTTAAATTATAAACACTACATCTGTGAAGTTTTTGTTATCATTTCTGAGATAAATTCATATAAAGTGAATTGTTTGGTTAGATGGTATATATACTTTATATTTTAAAAGATATTACCAAATTGCCAGTTTTTTCCCCCCTCTCCAGTATGGAAATGCCCATTAATAGATAATTTTCCCTTCTTGCTGCTTGCCTGACTCTAACAGCACTCCCTTCCTTTGCGATTAGTTGTTTCTACTGTATTGTGGATGAATCTTGAAACCAAGTGATCAGATTTACTAGAAATGAGTAAATATGCCAAATTTAGGAATTAGGAAGTTCCTCTAGGGGAGCTTAACATTTACTTTCATCCTTTGTCCTGCAGCAGAGGAAGTATACTTCCAGCCTCTTAATTGAATGGGACCCTATCTTTTCCTGCCTTCCCAGTACCCTTTTTTGTCAATAAGCACCTCCTCTTACTCCTATCAGGCATGCCTCATTTTATTGGGCTTCACAGGTATTGTGTTTTTGCAAATTGAAGACAAGACCACTATCTACAAAAAGGTTATCACTCGCTTTATTGCAGTGGTCTGGAACCAAACCCACAATAATCTTGGAGGTGTTCCTATATTTAAAAGTGTTCATGTTTTTCCTGTCTTTAACCCATGAACTCCAGATTCCCTCCTATTTACTTTCTTCCCTCTTTGTTCATTTATATTTAGACTCCTTTAGAGACTTGTATATGCTTGCTAGGAGGAAACAAGGGACAAAATTACTATAGCACATGCAGAAACAACAAAATGGCAATAGTAAGTCCTTCCCTATGAATAAATTCTTTAAATGGATTGAACTCTTCAATCAAAAGACAGATTGGGAGAATGGATTTAAAAAACAGTATGAAAAACTTCCCTTCATTGTATAGCTAGCTCACTGCACTTGTTTTCACAGAACATCCCACTCTAATCTGGCTTCCACCCTTTCTAGTCTACTAAAACTGCTCCTCTCAAGATCAGTAAGCTATAGACACTGGAGATATCTTACTCTCCTAGTTTTCCTCCTAGTCTGGTGACTGTGGTATTTCTTAGTTTCATTTGCCATCTTCATTGTTAGACTTACCATGCTGGCTCATCAGACTCTAGATCTTTTAAAAAATACTTATTATGTACTCTCAACCCAACCTTTTGAATTTGAACCTGTGGGGGTGTGTCTGTGGAATCAGTTAATTAGCCCTGTTGATATTCATTTAGGTCATCTCTGTTCCTTTACTGCTATAAATAGCATCCTTTTTATACACGTGCCGGTGTAAAGACTAGAATAAATTTCCATTTAGTCTAGAGATGGGTTTTTATTTTGACAGATATTGCCATTAAAAACATTAACAAAACAAATGCTTTTTTGGATTCCATCAAATTAACACATAGGTTCATATAAAAGCAAGCAAAAGCTATATTAAAGAGACAATTTCAAAAATAAATATTTTAAAAGAGACAGTGTCAGAAGCAATATCCTTCTTCCCAAACTGCATAATTTTGTCTTGGTTAATATCAGCTATAGACTGGTAAGGCAACTGATTCTGTATAAATGTGCATTTGTGGATATTTTTTAAAGCTATTTCTGTTATTCAACTTGTACTGTGTCTTAGGGATAATTAATTTTTTAAAAACTTATTAATTAAATAAAGAATTGCCTTTGTTACTTGAATAATAGAATGACCTACCAATTCTAGTATCCTGGTATTTAGTGAACATATAGCTTTACCTTAAAAAAAAATTCTCACTATTTTAAGAACTTTTATCTCAGTCTTCATCTTTTTTTCATCAGACAAAATATTCCTAATATTAACCTTTTCTTTATCCTGCCACTGCTTCTTAATTATTTTAATGATTGTCCGCCTCCGTTCAGCCTATTCCAGGTGTGGGTTATAGTCTGGACTATACAAGGGAAGGACATCTTACTGGCATTTGGGTTCACCTGACTCCTAAAAATTTTTCCCGTAGAATATGCTTGTTTTTCTATAGATTTCTATATACCACAAAGTAATTTATTATTATAATTTACCTTTTAGTGTAGAAAAATAAAGACAAAAGCATTGATTTCATATATTTCTAGTTTTTTTGCTAACCTTGAGTTTTATTAAGTTTTACAGTAAGGAATGGATTTCAGACTATTAATTTACAACTGTTTTCTTGATGGAAAACTAGGAAGAATATAAAAATTTTGTTAGCCTTAATTTTGTCCTTTCGTTCTCTAACATTTGGGAAATATTAATAATGCTAATTCCATGACTTTGAACAGTGTGAAGTTGTTATGCAACCCTTCATTGAAAGGTAAACATTTGTCTTTTTTTCAAATTTAAAGTGCCTCGTTGTAGACTTTTATACCTGAGTTTCCAACACGGGGGGAGGTAGCTATAAATAGAAACACAACTATCAAATTTTAATGTGTTTAATATAGAAAAGTAAATCAAATGTGGGAGGTATAGGTAGACTTCAGATGAAGACTAGAAGCAAGCACCATTTCCAAATGCTCCTTAAAGAAGCTGTCCAAAACAGTAGACTTAAAAATTAGGAAACTTGAAGTTTTGACTTCTACCTTTTTTCCATAGAAACTTTAAGTGAAAAAGGAGAATGAGTAGTAGACAAAATGAAGGGGGGAAGCTTCAGACCTTCAACCAGAATAAAATATAATGCTGTAAATGTGGATAGAGGAACCCTGTCAGATGCTTTTGGCTTGCACCCTGATGAAGATTTTGACAGCACTGCACATGGAAATGATCTTGATGTGCTGCCATTTCATTCTTTGCTGAATGTAGCCAATTTAAACTGCTAGAATTTCTTGACATTCCTACTCTGGCATATCTGAGTCAGCATCTTGTTGCTGCAGCAGCTTAATTAAATTTGCCAGTTTGTGCCACAAGGACAGACATGTTCTCATATTCAGAGAGACAACTGTGAAGCAGTATTGTTAAGAGTTGTGGACACAATACCGTTAGGTTTGAATAGCTCTCAAGACATTTTCTAGTGAGAAATCAATTTGCTGTGATACATTTCTCCCAAGATCAGCAGTTAATATTCATTTTGTTAACCTAAAATATGCTTATTTTTATACAGTTATTGGAGAAACTTTAGTCGCTAAGTATGTCTTGTTTCACCTGCATTATTTTCAGAGCCAATCTAAGCATTCTTATTTTAATGTGCATAATTCTTTTCCCATTTACTAACCACCTCTCTTGATTAGTTTTCCATCCATAGTTTAGCTCTAAAAGTGTGGTCTTGAATATTTCTGCTTTATTTTGGGACCTTCAGTCTTCTAAAAATTTTGGAATTTTTACCATATTTAGTCTAGTATTGTAAAGCTGATTTAAAACAAGTTAGTGTTGGCTTTGGATGGAGCCTAACCCACCCTTTGTCCAGATTCAGGTCTAGATTGGTAATTCTCAACCTCATCAGGCCAAAACTCTCCCATTTTTCATAAATATTTATAAGAAATAAGATACCTCCTTTACTAGCCCAAATTAAAATTTATAACTAGTATTACCTATAGATACAATATTTAGAAGTAATGTCCTAGATACATGAATGTGAATAAAAGAAAAACAATTTATATTCTAATACATATTTTAATAGGTAAATGCCTAAATACTGCACTAGAAGACATAATGAAGTAGTCAAATGCACCAACTAAAATGAGTAAGGTTGGATTTAAGAGAAGTAATTTAAACTATACTATAAAGCAGTGATTTTTCAACTGGTGTGCCTAGGGATTTAAAACATGCAATACCTGACTATGTTGTCAAAGGCACTGACCTCTTTTCCCTTAGATTGTAATATAAAAAAATGACAGCAGCCAACAAAATAATAGTCATCCAATATGAATGAATCAAAATTATATCTGTTTTTTGTCAGATCAGCCAAAAATATGTTTTTTGGCATGCTGCAGGATTTTAGTAATTAGTTTATGTGTGCCATGAGATGAAAAAGGTTGAAAATCACTGCCAGAAATTAATCATAAGAAAACCAAAAAGAATAAAATGTATTGTTAAAATAAGTAATAACAAGTCCTGGCTGGGTAGTTCAGTTGGCTAGTCATCCCGATACACCAAGGTTGCGAGTTTGATCTCCAGTCAGGGCACATACAAGAATCAATCAATGAATGCATAAATAAGTGGAACAACAAATTACTGTTTCTTTCCTTCCTTCCCTTCTCTCTCCTCTGTCTCTCCCTCCCCACTTCTTTTCTCCCTTGCTCTCTCACTCTAAAAATCAATTAAAAAGAAAAAAGATAAGTAATAACAGACCACACTTGTTTGTATATACCAGAAAGCCTGAAGAGACCTTGGCAAGTTGTGCAGGTCACCATCATACATTACAGGCAGGTAGTATTCCTCACTTCTAAATGCCTTTCATTCCTTTCCTCTTTTTTGACAACCCAGATTCATCCACAGGCTTTCAAAATGCTCTCAGGGAGTTAATTCTGTTATAACTGAGAACCACTGCTCTGGATATTTCCTGCCCCTCCCCTCTCTCCCTCTGAATCCCTGATCTCAATGTCCTTAGGATTCTGCTCAGTCAACCTATTCAGTGTGTTCAGTTTGGAAACCTGAGAGCTCAATAGTCACATTGTATTGATGTACATATTTACCTTTCTTTCTTCCCTGTTCATTTGATCTACTTGATTGTAAGGTCCTAGAGAGTAGAGATTGTATCATGCTCAATATCGGTTGTATCTCTAGTACCCATTATAGGTCTGGCACATGGCAGTCGCTCAATAAATATGAATTGATGGAGGAATAAAGTATGAATTAACAGACATTCCTCTTTCTCACTGCTTTTCCTTTCTCTTGGGTTATTGTTATTGTTTAATTTGGAACCAAATCATAGGGAATAATTACTGTCAGGGAAATTAGAGTTGTTGAGGCTAAGAAAATGGAGAGAGAGAGAGAGAGAGAGAGAGAGAGAGAGAGAGAGAGAGAGACACACCAAGCAAACCAAGGTTTGTCCATGTGACCTAACAACTAATGTTGAAGGAAACAGGTTTTTATTTATAGGATTCCAACCTGGGGGGGGAGGTGCTGAGAGCACTCCTGCTCAGAGTCCTTTTCTCCCATGAGACCCAGCACTTCCCACGCTCCCCACCAGGCTATCAGCCAGAACCATGCCCAGAAGTTCCCCATATCCTTATCTGTTCTTAAGCCGGCTGCGCAAACAGGTCTCCATCCCTTCTGGAAGGTGCTCTTGTGGGTTGCAGAGTCGCCGTCCTCTTGTAGCAGCTCTCTCCTTCAGGATCTGGGGTACGTTGTCCTCAGCGTCCATGGACTAGTTCAGGGAAACATGTGCCATGTTACACGGGATCATGGTGGGCTCCAGGGAGGCACATGCCTCAGAGTGAGTTCACCATACATCCTTCAGAAAAGAAGTCTGCAGGTCAGCAGTCCCAGTTTGGCTCCAGGCACCGCCCACGAACCCATGCTTGGTTTCGCAGCTCCCCTCACAGCTCCATCAGCTCTGCCGGGTCCCCGCACAGTTCCATCAGCTCTCTCCTTACACCCTTTCCTCCCGCATGGCTTCTGCCTCCTCGCTTTCAGACCTCATGGCGGAATTCCTCCTTACTATCCCAGGCCACATGGTGGAATTCCCCTCTCTTTCAGACTGCCCTTATTTTAAATGCTCAGCCCGGAACTTCCTAAGTGACCTCATATCTGGCCTCTCCTATGATTTACTACTTTTACCAGTTCCCCCGTATCTTTCACCTTCTTTCACCTTCTGTCTTTAGTCCAGGAAGGAGTTCCCCATGACACGGGCATCCCAGGTGGGCATCCACCTCCCCTGGCTATGTCACGAGTCACTGTACTCTCCGAAAGTCACTGACACCTTTTGCCCAGGGCAGCAGCACAGCTCTTAACTTGCCATGGATATGCAAAGTATCTTAAAGCCTATCCTTATGGTCTACTTCCCCCAGCCAAGGTTTGTGGGGAATATTTCAGGGGATGCCTGCTCTGCACCCTGTTACACGTGTCCTTTAAAACTTATTTAAAAGGTAGATTACAGCAACTGAATATCAGGAATAAAAACGGTATGAACAAGGTAAGAAATTTGTATTCGTGTACCTTAATTGGAGTGGTAAGGTGATTTTTTTCAAAATTAGGGGTAGCATTTCATGAGCAAATATGGTAACAAGTTCTCTAGCTACCCTAGGGCATTTCATTATAGATATGACAAGATTTTCTTTTGCATCCATGGATGCAAAGACATTTCCATGGATTTAGCCATGTGCACCAGTGATAGAGGATTACACAACTTTTCTAAAACCACTACTTTTTATAAAATATGACACACAGATGGAATTTTCTCTTTAATTCTTGAGATAATTAAAGCAGAGGAAACCAGAGAAATAGAATCTCAGTGAATTAGTTAACTTCAAGCTTGTGACCACATCATATGCTGCTCTCTTTGGGTTTTGTTCATCATAGTAACTGATACATCTTACTGAAACTGTTAAGCATTATAAAACAACTAAAATGTAAACATGACAAACCTGTATATATAATTGGCAAGAGTGATTTACCTCTCTTCAATAGAGGGATAAAACTTCCAAACTGAATAACTTGTCTAAGGATTATGGCTCTTCCTCTCTATCAGATCATCGAAGGTGAGTTTGTAATGCGATCCTTTCCTGCAGAATACTTAATTTACATCAAGTAGCTAAACATCAGAATGCAGGTGGCAAAGTTAGATAATAATTCAGAATTTACTGTGTTAATCACGCTATATTCTCCCTGGTGATTAAGAATCATAAAGTTCCATGATAGTAATCTTCATGTGAAAAGCACATATTTGTAAATTGTATTTTTTTTTCCAGGCGTATGGGAGAAAATTTGAGTGCCTCAGCAAGTTCTGTAGAAAATGAGCCGGCAGTTAGTTCAGCAACTCAAGCAAAGGAAAAAGTTAAAACCACAGTTGGAATGGTTCTTCTTCCAAAACCAAGAGTTCCTTATCCTCGTTTCTCTCGTTTCTCGCAGAGAGAGCAGAGGACTTATGTGGACTTGTTGATTAAATACGCAAAAATTTCTGCTAATTCCAAAGCTATTGGAATAAATAAAAATGACTACTTGCAGTACTTGGTATGTATTCTGTTCTTCAGCTTCAGTTAAAAAAAAAACAAATAAGTCTTAAAAGTTAGGAAATACTATAAATTTGCTTTTATGTTTTTAGGTGTAATCATAGGAACAAAAGTGGAAAACGTAAGGAGATTAATTGACAGGCAAATTAGTGCTTTAATTCTTTTGTTGTTCTGGTGATTTCAGGCATTTTACTCTTGTTCTGAGCATATTTCACTCCAGTTCACCTTAAGTACTAGCAGTAGAGCTTTGCATGGGTCAATGAACCAAGTCAAAATTTTTATTACTTTAATCAAGTGGTTTCCAAATTCTCAAACTATATAAATGATGCCATACTGACATCATTGTTGTAAATTCTGCTTATATCTGGGATTGTTTCCTTTTTTTTAAGTTTAAAATATAATTGTTTCCTTAAGATAAAATTTTTTCAATAAATCTGCCATATTAAGAGCTATAACATGTCTTTAAGGCTTTGATATGCATTTACACATGGGTAAATTGCTTAGGAAAAAGTTTAAACCAATTTTTTTGTGCCACCATTGTATGGAAGTGGGGGTTTTTTTGTTATTTTTTGTTTTGTTTTGTTTTCAGTATCTTCACTAATACTGGGCATTACCTTTTCCTGTAATTCAGTAGGGTGAAATGGTGATCCCTTGTTTGACATTAATTTACAGTGATTGCTAATAAAATAAGCATTTCTCATGTGTTTATAAGCCATTTCTGTTTCTTCTTTTGTAATTTGCTTATTAATTTTTTTGCTCATTTTTCCATTTGAGTGTGGGGTTTTTTGTTGTTGTTAATTAAGAGCATTTTATAAAATAAGCTTACTAATTCCAAAGTGTATATTGTAGTATTAGTCATTTTATTTTCTATTTTTGAGGAGTTTTTAGTAACAAATTTTTCATTATTGTATAGTAATCTTAATTCACCTTTTCTTTGTGATTTTTGCTTTGGATGTGATACTTTTAATTATTCTTTAATTCCAAATAATTAGAGCAATGATTGAGGTGATTGTTTTTAACCAAGCTGCTTATTCTACAACATGTCTACTTTTTTAAAAATTAGGACATGAAAAAACACGTGAATGAAGAAGTTACTGAATTCCTAAAGTTTTTACAGAATTCTGCAAAGAAATGTGCACAGGATTATAATATGCTTTCTGATGATGCACGTCTCTTCACAGAGGTAAAAAAATATATTAATGTTTACTTAAACTGCCTAGTAATAGGCAATAGCAGCATTTTAAAGTGTGTGATGATCCTGTCAGATGCATATGGAAATATCAGTATGATCAATTTAAAGACCAAATAGTTTTTTTATCATGTATGTAAATAATAGAAAATCTGTGCTAACATGTCAAAATCATATACTATAGTATATTCTTTTTTTCTTTTACTGATCCATTTTTGAGAGTTAATATTTTACTCACATGGATACTCTGATATTTTGTACTGGTTTCCCTTGTGGGGTAATGGGTGTTTAAGAAATTAATTTAGTCACTAAAATTCTGAATGGTCCTTTAAACCTTAGTCACATAAATTTGTATTTATTACCTTTATGGTAACCAACTACCAAATGATAATTTTCAACTGTGAGTGCATGGTTTTATATGAGTCATGCAAATTTAATAGCAAGCATGTAAGTCACTCTGCCTTGTATCTTACCATCATTCCATGGGCCTGGGAGAAATTTAGAGTAACCTACTTAAATAATTGCTATTAATATATGCAGTTAACATTTGAACAACACTGGGGTTATCTTTAGTGACCCACACACAGAGTCAAAAATTCGTGTATAAATTTTACCTGGCCAGAAATTTAACTATTAATAGCCTATTGTTGACCCAGTACCCTTACCAATAACATAAATAATCGATTATACATTCTGTATGTTACATGTATCATATACTCTATTCGTGCAGTAAAGTAACCTAGAGAAAAGAAAATGTTATTAAGAAATTCATAAGGAAAAGAAAATATATTTACAGTATTTATTGGAAAAAATCTGCATATAAGTGGACCTATGCAGTTCAAACCCATGTTGTTCAAGGGTCAACTGTATTGTAGTAGAGTTCATCTACATACACCAACACTAGTCTGGATTTTTTCTTATAGCCTTCAAACCTGGTCACTGTACTCCAGTGTGATACACCTAACACTATTGTACTTTACACTTAAAAATGGCTAAGATGTTAAGTTCTATGTGTATTTTATTAAAATTTTTTAAGATTTTTATTTATTTACTTTAGAGAGAGGGCAAAAAAGGAGAGAAACATTGTTGTTTAGTTGCCTCTCATGCACCCCTAACTGGGGACCTGGCCTGCAACCCAGGGAGGTGCCCGACTGGGAATGGAACTGGTGACCATTTGGTTCACAAGCTGGTACTCAGTCCACTGAGCCACACTAGCCAGGGCTTATTACAAATTTTTAAAAATTAGTTTACTGGGTTTTTAAAAAATATTTTTAAGGTGAGACTTTGTTGTTAATATGAACCAGAAGAATGATTCTGCTAAATAAAATAATTCCAGTTTTATTTTCTCTGAACCTAAATGTGATATACTCAAACAGTGTCATGTTTTTTCCATATGGAAAAGGAACTGTAGCTATTCCTATTTTAATGCCTTTGAAATAATCAGAATGATGATTTTAAAACAAAAATTATATTTCTCCTCATTTCACTGGTTTAAAAATGTCTTCTTATCTCATCAAAAAGAGACAATCTACAGAGATCATACTCCCAAACCCCAGCTTGCTTCATCTTCTACATACCTCACTCCCAGTTGTTCCATGGCAGTCTACTGGCCTCTGTGTTTCTTGCATACTCCTTAAGGCCTTTGGCTGTTTCCATCTTTCTGACAAGCTGTTCCTCAGATACCTGCATGGATTAGTTCCTTGATCCCTTTAAGTCTCTGTTCAGATGCCAACTATCAATAAAGAATGTTCCTAATTGCCGTCTAAAAAACAGCATCACCCTTAGTGTTTTCTTCACCATGTTTTATTTCTGTTTATTGTCTTTCTTCCCAATATCTGTAAGTCAGCACTCTGTTGTGCACTGCTGTGTTTCCAATAACTAGAATAATGCCTGGCAGATGACAAGTGCTCAGGTGTTCAGTGTTATTATTTAAGTGAATATAAAAATGGTTCTTAACAGAGTACCTTATATAGTAGCTAACAATCAGCACTATGTTTTGTTTTTTAGCCAGATTGACTTGGCAAAACATTTAATCTCAAAATTTTACATCTCTACCCCAAAGATTCACTGATATTCTTAAGATTTACTTAATGTTTTAAAGTTGTAGGTTCATATTATGAAATGTAATGTACCGATGGAAAACTATACAGAACAAATACATGCAGCTTAACAAAGAATTACATAGTGAACACTTACTTAATTCTTTTCCAAGTCAAGAATGACAACATCACCAGTAACCCAGAAGTCCCCTGTGATCTCTCCTAGATAATTACATTCTCCCTCCTTGAAGAGATCATCACTATCCCAAGAATGGTGCTGATAATTTCCATGCCTTTCTTTTTTATTTTCTGGTAGTTCTTCAATCTCTCTTGGCTGTTTTTGAATTTTACATGAACAAAATTCTTTTATTCTTTTATGTGAACAGAATTGTTTCTTCTTTGACTCACTGTTATGATTGTGAGATTCATACATATGTGTGTAGTTATAGTTCATTCATGGTCATTTCTGTACATTATTCCATTTTATGAATAAACTAGAATTTATTCTGTTGATCAGAATTTGGGTAGTTTTCAGTTTGGAGCTATTCAAAACAATGCTCCTATGAAAATTCTTACACTTTTCCCTTGGTGTACATGTGCACACGTTTCTACTGGGCATATAACTGTGAATGGAATTGTTGGGTTATAGAAAATGTGTATCTTCAACTTGAGCAAATACGTAATGTCAAACTTTTTGCAAGGTAATTATACCACTTTACATTCCATTTATCAGTGTTTGAGAGTTTTGTTACTCCATATCCTCAACATTTGGTAGTTAAAATCATTTTAGTTTTAACCAATCTAGAGGTTCTAGTGCTATATATTTAATAAGACTGTACATCTTTTCTTATGAATAGTGCTCATTTCTTGTGAGTTGACTGTTCCAGTTTTGTACTTTATTCTGGATTTCCCATCTTTTAGTTATATGTGGGAGTTCTTTGTTTGTTTAAGTACAAAAATTTTATAGGTTGTATACTATGTTGGAATTTTTTTTTCTTTTATTTGATAAAAGCTTCTTTTAATATATAAGTTCCTCTTCCATCCCTTTCTTTTTCTGAAACTTTATCTTTTAAAGAACCTGAGTCATTTGACCTATGAATTTCCCACAGTATAGATTTGGATTGCATATTCCTGATAATGTTCAACATGTTCATTTTTTTCTATATTTCTTACAAATTGTCAGTGGGATCCAGAAGCTTGATTAGAATTAGTCTTGCCAAAGAGCTTGAACACATAATTGGTGGTGTATTCTTTAATTAGGTGACATATAATATCCTGTTGTTTCTTTTTGGTGATGTTCAATGCCTAGATCCATTCATTCACTGGAGTTTGCAAAATTGTAGATTCTAATTGCTTTATTTTTATTTATTAGTTAGACTAATTTTATTAAGATATGTTTTCCCTTATCTCCTCTTCGGTTTCGCACTGTATGTAGCAGGGGAAAAAAAGATAGAGTCTTTCCCTTTATATACCAGTTTTGAAAAAATTATTATGTTCCTTCTTACTCTCCAATGATGATCAGTGTTTTGTTTTTTAAATATTATTAAATATTAGAATTAAACATATTTAGTGGGTTCTAGTCCACTACAAATATCTTTTTGAAGCTCAATACCAACTTTGGTCAGTTGACAGGCTCTGCATATTGACTTTTGAGTCCTTGTGGGTCTCTCTTGTAGTCTTTGAGGCTCATTTCAGACATTTTCTCTCCAACCCTAGAATCAGCCATTTTCCAGAGCCCTTGTTTTTGTTGTTTTTTGTTTATTTGTTGTATTGTGTTTTTAAGTGGGGAATGGTATTTCAAGACAGCAGCCTGGGCACTAGGGATGCTCACTGCTCCTGGGTAGGTGGGGCTAGAGGATATATATCTAAAGGAAAAATGTCACGTGTCTCATTTGATTTACCCTGTAATACACTCGCAGCAGCTTCAGAATCACAATACTAATACTACCAAGCCACAGGAGTACTGAAAACAGTTTGAAAAATTTTTTTGTATGTTCTCCCTACTCTCTACTTTTTTTAAAAGTTCATAATTCATTTGTATTGTATTACGTTTGTATTGTGTTTGTACTACATTTGTAGCGTTACTACTAAATAATCTCCATTTTAATCCACATTTAATTTTTAATTGATTTTACTGAGGTATAATTTGCATGTAAGTATCCATTTTAAGTGCATATCCGTGAGTTTTAACAAATGCATACACCCATATAACCCTGACCACAATCTAGATATGAAATACTTCCATTACCTGGAAAGATCTCTGTGCCTCTTCCTATCCGTGGCCTCACGAAACCACCAATATGCTTTCTCTCACCATGGATTAGATTTGCCTTTTCTAGAGTTTCATGAAAATTGAATCACACACAATGGGTACTCTTTTGTGTCTGGCATTTTTTCACTCAGTGTTTTTTTGTTTGTTTGTTTTTCGATATTCATCCACATGATACAAGTATCCGTAACTTCTTCCTTTTTGTTTTATTATATTTTTTACACAAAAAGTGGTTTACAGTTCAACTGTTGATGGGCATTCGTGTTATTTCCAATTTGGGGCAATTGTGAATAAAGCTACTGTGAACATTCTTGTACAGGGTTTTTGGGGGGACATATGTTTTCATTTTTCTTGGGTAAAGAACTACTAAGTCATATGACAAACGTTACATTTTATTTTATTGAATATTTTAAAATTTTTTAAATTTTTGTTTATTTATTTTTTGAGATAGGGGAGGGCGAAAGAGAGGGAGAGAAACACCAATTGGTTGCCTCTCTCATGTCTGTAACTAGGGACCCAGCTCACAAACCAGGCATGGGCGCTGACCAGAAATCGAACCGGCAACCCATGGGTTTATGGAACGTTGCTCAACCCATCAAGCCACACCAGTCAGGGCAAATGTGGTTACATTTTATTAGAAACTGCCAAACTGTTTTTCATAGTAGATATAATCCTCTCACTAGCAA